TGGATAGATCAGAATTAATTTGTATGACTGTTTCCATATCAATAAAAAGAAGATGATTACATCACAAATCACACAAATTTAAAGCTTAAAGTACAACAGTGGAGGGCTGAACTGAGCGCATACATGTAACATCTTTAACAAAGAACTAGATCCATAGTTCTTTCATTTTTATACCACGTGTAAAGAAACCTCAACAAATATTTAAAAGAATGTTTTGAAACAAACACCATCAAACCTCTTAAATTACCTCCCATATTCATTATTCCTGAAGACAGAAATCAATATCACAGAATTGAAAGACAAAAGCAGAAAGAAACATCATCCAGGAGGGGTTAAGATAGATAAGAAAAAATGGATTATGACCTTGGTACATGTAATATATATTTCGTAATAAATAAAATATACAAAATTAAGTAATAGGTTGGGATGGTTAATATTAGTATACAAGTATTTTCTGTCATATGGAAAAATGTATTTTAAAAAAATATCCTGTTAAAGGAACAGAACAACAACAACTAACTATATAAAGGCATCAAAATTAAAAGAAGGCAATTCTTGTAAACTTCTACAAAGATGTACGGTCTATTGTACAACATATCGAGAGTCGTGATGCTAAGGCCAATGACGAGGATGGTTTGTTTATTTTTTGATGATTTATTTCAACATCAAAAAAGCATTATTGAAATTATTACATTACCTTAGTAAACAAGGGGTTTTTTTCTTCTTTGGTACAAAGTCTGCTTCCGTTTTCCAGGCTCCTCTAGATATACCCTGCTTCCAGGTTCACTTCTCTCTTTGATTGCCGAATGTAATTTCTCCCTTTATTTATCTTTATTTTATTAAAGGTAAACTATGCTTTCCTGTAAAGTACAACAAACTACAGAAATCTCGAACACTTATATGCCAATCACCCCCCCCCCCCCTTTCTCAGGCCTAAGTACACTGAATAATTGATGCTTTTTAATTTTTAACTCGTAATTATAACTTAATATTTAATATTTTATGCTTTATTTTACATTTAAATACCTTTTCATTTCTTTTTCAATTGTCTTTTTTTTTTATCTTAATGTCATTCCAAAGATATATACCTGAATCAGGATATTTCCTCCTTATACCCTCCTGCATTTCGTTTCCAACTTTCATTTCCTGTGCACATGCATGTCATTCAATGCTAATGGTGGTGACACAGGAAAGACATTTATTTTTTTTGTTAATTTTCCTTTTTCCTCATATCTGTTCATGTCTATGAAGTATGTGAGAAGTTATCGTGTTTTTTCTCTCCCATACGTATAACGCAGTAATATTTGACTTCATTTAATAAATTTATCGTCATTTAAAGTATCAAAGTAAAGTTCTTGTACTCACTATGATGCGATTTTCTTTGTGTTTTTACCAAAGAAAAAACGCTTATAATAACGACCGGTAGGTAAATCAAGCTATTTTCGGTAGGTTTAAATACCAATTTAGCTATAATTAGCTACGTAGCTTAATGTATTGTACTGGATCTGAAAATTAATTTCTTACTACGCGTCCCTCAGTTTCTATCTAATTGTGCATGACGCTCAAAAAACTCCAATAAATTATGAAACATAAAAAAGAACACCAATTAAATAATGAAATAAATTACTAAATTAATGCGTAATATTTTTTTCTTTTAAGCAAACTGTTTTGTATTCCATGAAAAAACTATGCAGACGACCACACCATAATTTGCGACATTTTTTAAATACATGTCGATCGTGTGTTACAATATCAAAGAATAATCCATCGAGACATTGAATTGTTAAATAACTTATTTTTTAATTATATTTTGACAATTTAATTTTGAAAAACTCCATTTAAAGTATATTTTTTCATAAAATCGCCTGCTACAAAATTTGCATACCTTTCGCCACTCTCTACCATCGGTTCATACATTCATACATGTCTGAGAGAGGAACGAACGACAACTCTGCATACGAGCTTGACCTTTCGCTTTGAATCCAGGTCAAGAGGGAGAATTTGGATTCCGATCCCGATTTAATTAGAACCTAGCTTAACCCAACTATAATAGCAACTTAATAATTCTTTGTTCAATGAGTCCTTGAGTTATAACGTTTACTAACTAGTATTAACTAGTATTGCTACTACTAGCAAGTTTACAACATTTATGAGTAAAGTTTAAAGTTATCAAAATCACTAAACTTCGAAAAGGAAGTCCGAATAAAAAATCAATATTATTGCCTAGTTCTTTTTTTCTCTCTATTTTTTAAATCAAAATACAACAACTTCAAACCAAATAACTTTATAAAAAAAATATTTAATCACATCGACAAAAGAGCTTAAATATTTTAACAAAGCGACATTTTGGCTTTTCACAAACTGAAATCAAATCGAACAAAGACAGAGAATCTTACTGTGAACAGAAAAAAAATAAAAAATAAAAATCGAGTCCGTATCAAGGAATAAAAATTCAGGAGAAATGCTTGCACATATATGAACAGTGTGTTGATTAAAACCTACAGGATAAGAAACTTTATACACTACACTGAAATTTTCCGTTAACGCTGGATGTGACATTGTGAAAATGGTCTGAAAGATAATTTACGTGAAATTGTTCTACTTTTAATACTTTTTTATAACATTGTAGGATGCTCATCTTATAATCGTCACCTAATCTATGACGCAACTTTGTTGGGAAAGGGTTTCCTTAATTCATTTTAGCAATACTGATCAAAGAATTTATTGATAATCGCTTGTCTGACTTTAACAATGTAAACAACCTGAGGGAGGTGCAAATATTGATGGACACAACGCAAACAAATTATAAACCTAGGGATGTCATTTCTTGTGCTTCAAATGTCAAAATTATCATTTAAGAGGAAACTGCGCTCTAAACGTTTCAATAATTTCAAAGCGTGTCTAAAGAGCCACTGCATATTATACAACTTTTCAAAACGTGTAAGGTTTAGCACAATACATCACTATATGTTTATTTAAAATGAAAATATGTATTTAAACCTATCGGTGAATAATTTGTAACTTGCAAAAATAAAGTATTGTGATCAAAACCATGATAATATACACCAAAGGTATCAATGACAGTTGATGAAAGGCATTTTCTTAAGTACATGTTATCTAAAATCAGAGAATATAATTAAACTTTTATTTAAAAAAAAAAATCACCGATGCAGATAAAAAAGAAAAGCATTTACTCATAAATGCTGTTCGCCTAAAAAAATATAGAAAAAAAGTATTAAACGTTCCAAAGCTAGTAGCTCCACACAAATGTAGCTCTTTGCAATCACCAGGGATTGAGAACTTACCACATTTTTACTTTGTTAGCAGTGTCCTACACTGTACATTAGTGGTGCTTTTTAGTTTCAAGAAAAAATACAAGTACATATGAGAAGACAGATTTAACATTTACGCTGTAATTCCTATATTACTTTATTACTTATGAATATGTCATTTCATACACGCCAGTATACGACAAAACGGTTATTAATTGGAATGACGAATCTACTTTGGAAGCTTCACAGGGGGTTTGATTCGGTTCATACATTCTATAGAATAAAATCATGCTGATACCTACTTTGTATACCTAATTATAATTAAGACTTTTGCACGATTTTCTCTCTAATTTCATTCTGTAAGCAACCCTAAGGCTTACTACTAAAGATCCAATAATAAATCAGATAAATGACAATTTTGTAGAACTTTAATGAATAAGTGATATCGTTGAGTGTCCTCTTATTTTCCATGATATTGCAAAAATTTTATTATCATTTTAAATTTTATCTTTATGAAACAAAAACATAAAGAGATTGAGCGACAAGTTTGTAATCGGTGGTTGCTTTAGAGTTAAGATGGAAACATGAAACAAAAGGAACAGTTAGAGGATGCATGATGTGAATTTAACAGCATGATGAAGTTCCATCAGTATCGATAGAACAAAGAGTCTTAATGTAAAACAAGTCAAGATTTGTGCAAATATAAACGATTCATCTGTGAAGACAACTGCCATCAGCAAACACTGTGCACTGATTCAACAGTATCTTGTATTTTAATCGTCATTTGAAGCAGAGCCTCGCAGTTTTCATCTATAAAACATAAGACTCTCAAATACACATTATACAAAGTTTAATAAGAATGGTGTTTTGTTGCATTGTTTATGCGTTTTAGTAATAAGGTCTTTTATGTACATAAGCTCATCTAAGAATAGTATTAGCTGGAAAATATTTCATCTGATCTCTCATTCCTCTTCATTTCTACTAGCCGTAGTTTACTAAGAATTTATATCATGTATGAAAAATTGATGTTATTGTTACATGTCTGGGATTGTAAAATAGTGATTGAGAAGTTTCCTCTACTCTTAGAAAGTGAACTTGACGTTTTTCCATAAAGGTTGGCGTGTATAAAGACTTGACTTTTCATAATTTGCGTTGTAATCTGGTTTTTGTCTTTTAGAACACTGACAAAAGACGGCTAATGCGATTAATTGCTGGACCGGTGGCAATTGATAACTCCATTCACCAGACAATGCGTCTTTGATAATGTACCATTAACAGGTATGGACACGGTCGCCTTTCATCGGAATAGGCTGCACGCAAGCTTATTTGACCGTAGCTTTTTGTAACTTTGAAAGTTATTATTAACACCTAAGTCAGGGTTTAACGATCAAGATCAACGCTTCCTAAGTAACGTTCCACTCCAAAACTGTTTTATCCCGTCCTAAACGAGAGATTAATTAATTTCTAAAGTTATTTACGAACAACGGCGTAATGCAAACAGCGATATTCTATACACTAAGGTGACAAATTTCCTTTACGTTGATGCCTATATAACAGTAACTATTTGTTGACGGACTATCTGATTTGCATTAAATCACATTCGATTTTTCATTGTTAACTAATTATAAATACATTAATTCCTCCCTGTTCACCGCCTACCCTTCATTATACATCCTATATGTACAGATTCATTCTAAAACCATTTAGTTAACTGCACCGAAATCTCGTGTCGTCAAAGGTTTGAAAATCCGATAATTTGCAATACTCGCCTCGATTTCACAAAAATCAAAATTTCGCTATGAATGAACAGTGTTTCCTATGAAGGAATTCCGATATAAACAATTTTGAATTCTTAAAACTTAACCTTTTAACATATTTTCTACGACCGGTAATTATGATTGGGTGATTAGGAGCTTTCAGCAAGATTTTGAATAGAAATATTGTAGTGCTTTTTTGGAATTTTTAAAAAATTGATTTGGACATGAACTTTCGTTTGTGCTTAGTCCTCCTTTTGGAACTCTTCATGCTTGTTAAGCAACATCATGCCCAAGACTCGGAAGGTAACTTAATAGTTGCTTACTTTTGTTAATCTTTTTTTTAATTTTCTTTTTCATTTTAATACATGACTTTTAATTTATTTTTCCATTGGTGTCTTTTTAGATAGAAGTTTTAAAAAAGTTCAAAATGTTCCAAATACGATTTTTATTCAATCATAATATTAATGTTACTGAAGCAAAATTCTGAATTTGAATAAAAGAAGCGGTTATTTGCCAAGATTTTGATGCTTTAATCATTGAATTGGTTATGTTCAGATCATATCAAGGAGCAGGAAGGTTCGTATTTTGGGTACTTTGTTGATACATTTTTAAAATAATTGTATTTCTTTACAACTGCTAGGATTATACCATGCACCACACACCCCCTAAATTTCACATTCCTTATATATGAAAATTAATATATATTGTCTTTAGAAGTATGCAAATGTTATGCTTTAAGTATTACGGTTCAAAATGGAAATTCAAATGTGTCTTTCGGCTTACGCGAATAAGATTCATTATCTTGAAGATTCAGCAAAATCAGAATCTTTGCCAAACACGAAGGAGCAGGTGTCGGGTCTACAGTTGTCATTATCATCAACAGTATTTTTCTTTCACTTCAGAATAAGATCTAAGTAATTTGATTTTCTGATTATCTTTTGCTCCTTTGTCAATGAAGGTTCCAAAATTAAAGACTAAAAAAGCATTTGCATGTATCAGCGGGATGATTTCAATATACTAGTAGGTATATTTGTATAAATTTTGCTTGCATCTATTTTCATAGTTATAAAAGTTCTCCAGTATATACACATACATATTCATTTATTGGATCAAAAGTTGACCCCAAAAAAATTTCACTTGATGGATAACTTTATGAAGTAGATATATTCAATTTTTAGATTGAAAATCAATACTGGTTTATTTACCTGATCTTAAAAATATTTATAAAGAGTAAGCGACAACATTGTTGGCATTCAGAAGTTAAACAAATTGCCCAGTAGTGGACAATTGGTAAACTCTACAAAAAATCCCACCACCTTTTATACAAGGTTCAGAGAATTGTGGTGAAATATCATCGTCAAAAACACTGATCTCAGATTAAATTTCCACTCTGTGGATTCTTATCAATTTTTGAAAATAAATTTGAAATCTAAAGCATTAACATTAAGGATGATAAAATTAGAAGGAAAAAATAAATTTGATTCCTACTCATTAATGTTTATTTTTAATTGCTCAAACACAGTCAGCAATAAATATATTTGTTTAGAAAATTTTACCTCAATTCTTAGCTGTTGAAATTTGCGACAAAATTGCTTCTCTCTAGTTCTTAAATCAGCAATATCCACCTGTACTTTGGAAGACAGAGAAGTTACTTTTCAGTACTCTAAAACCTTATGTTTTCTAAGTGCAATGACAGACATGCGGTTCATTTGAAGTATCTACCCTGATAAATAAATAACAGTTTTGCCAGGATTAGGAAGCAATAGAAGTCATTTGTCGTAAAATTGAGGACATTGGGTAAAAATTATTTCGGAAAAAAAACAAAGACAAATTTATATAAGAAGTGTCTATAATAAAGTTATGAATTATGCCCCACTCTCCTCCCTAACGAGCTGTCTCTCATTTTCCCATTATAACCCCCTCCCACCTTTTTTTGGTTAAGAACATGTAACGCATACTATCTCATATCCATGTAAGCTAACTTTAGAAAGACTTTTGTAATGGGGATGATAATAGTTCACTCCTTTTCCCATTATAACCCCCTTTTTGGCCAAGAACATGTAACGCATACTATCACATATCCATGTAAGCTAACTATCTCTACAGCCTTGGAGAGACTTTTGTTTTGGGGATGACAATAGTTCAGTATACCTTTTGACAATAGCTCTGGTGGGGCGGTGAACACTATGCACAACCCAGCAGAAATTTCATCAGCATAATGCAGAGTGTGGTCTGTTAATTAATCAGCAAAAGGCAGTCCTCGCAAATATTCTATTTGACATTCGTAGATGAACAATGTATATTGATAGAAAAATATCGCATTACCTCGACAATAAAAGCCTAGATTTGAATATCATGGTATTGTAAATGAAAATCTAATATAAAGAAAATGATTGGCGAAACGAAGGCTTGAGGATATCGGTATTATATTCACAAAGAACACGGAGACGCCTTAAAATGTGCAATTCAATAAAACGGTTGCTTACTATCAGTGTGGTTTTTCACTCGACTAATTTACTCAGGAACTAGCTATAATAGAAAGGATTCATTTGAAATTAAAGATTTTCTCTTAATAGAAGCGGGATTTTTAGAGTTGAAATATAAGCCCAAGCCCCGAAGTCACATTGGCCTGTTTTTGGAAAAGTAAATGTTAAGTTTAATTTTAAAGAGGGTTTCTGACTTTATTCATTACGTCTCGAATTTAAATCGCAGAGTTAATATTGAACGCTTTCTACACGAAATGAACTTTTAAAAAATCTTTAAAATGGATGATTTGCAGTTGCTCTTTTTGGTATTCGTGTAATCTTTCATCTAAATGATGCTAACTCCAGAAATACTTCTTTCTGATTTTCGACACTAACTGTAATGCAAGTACATGTATTTATATACAGTTAATGTATCTCATTGAAAGAATAAGCAAAATTTCAGTTCCCCGAGGTGAAGACTATTTTCCGAGGCGAAGCCGAGGGAAAATAATCTTGGTAGAGGGGAACTGGAATCTTGCCAACACTTTTTTTAACTGTTAAACTGTTAAGCAGAGATTAGCTTACTTGACTAACACATGGCAAAACGGGGATTTGTCCATTCATAATGATTTCTAGGGTATTATTCACATTCATTTTGGGAAAAATCAGTAATAATGTATTAATCTTTGACAACAAACAACTAAAGTGTTAATACAAACAATTAAATACTTTCTCATGCTAGAGTATTGTTTCAAGTGTTTATTTATTTTAAATGTATATGTGTTATGATAGTTTGAGAGGTCTATTATGACCAAACCCTCAGAAGTTTTCCCGAGAGAAAAAGAAAAAGGTTTTTTTTTTGGGGGGGGGGGGGGGGGGGTCCTCCGTCTTAGAATACATAAATTCATTGCAGAAGTCTGCTGGGACTAACACTTGAGCTAAAGAAAATAAAGCTTCATTAGTTAGTTATTATTAATCAGTACAGGAAATTTAGTATAGAGGCGGTATATCACAAAAGTACGCAATACTTTGGGTACCAGTTATGATTGAATGGCTCAGTTTTTGACGCTGGATTCAAGCAAATGGTCTTTCGTTGAAGACATTTTTACACACCTGTAAAAACTAGTTTGTACAGGGGACAAATAATTTTAAGAAAAAAATTTGTCCATGTTTTTCAATGTATAAATGAAGAGGTTTGTCCTGCTGAGAACAAAGGCGAGCATTAACATACTCCACATTTAGAGGCACATAAAATAGTAATGGAAGAATTTGAATAATGCTTTCATGTCAAATAACAATGTTTTGTGTTCTTAACACCTTCCCTGCTCATGAGCTGATACAAATGAACTGTATTGCAAAGGTAAATTTTCCAATAGATTTACATTAAAAATTTGAATTTGCATGTTGGTTTAATTGTACAAAAGACAGGAAAGGGCTAAAAGCAGCACTCGCTTATTCTGATAAATTGGTATCAATTTAAACGCTTATCAACCAAGTATCTCTGCATTTTGCTCATGATGAATTCAAGATAGAGTTGAATCTATTCATTATGTTTCTTGTAAAAATCGTTTTTGGAATAGACTACGGTTTTGGTTTTATCAATTATAATGAATGAATAGAAAGAATGAATGCTTTTCTTTTGATGAAGGGCACTGTTAACATAATGTAAATTTGCAGCTTCCTCAGTCATCAGGTTTATTTTTTATATGGAAAGATTCTTTTAAAAAAAAAAAATCTTTGTTTCGATTTTCATTCAGATTTTTTTCAGTTACAGTATGAAATGATGCAAGATTCCTACGCAAGATTATTGGCATTTCTTTCTTTTTTATCCAATAATGATTTCTCATTCTTTTCAAATTGCCCATCTTGCAAGAAAGCGAAATGTTACATAGTTTGGACATGGTCAACGATTCAGATATTCTTTGTTTCTCGTTTTAGAATATTATGTCAGCTACAATAACGAAGGCCTACCAAGTCCAATTCTCAAGAAAGCAGTAAGTTTACAAATCTGATAATATCAACATGCTATTTCTACCCTATATATCTATAAGGTTTTTACCCCCCCCCCCTTCCTTCATAAAAAGAAAATAAAAGAAAATATTGTATCTTAAAGTTACGTGTAAGTATGTCAATTTTGCGTGTATTGAACAAAAAATTCTATCTAATTTAAAGTGTTTAGAGTAAATCATTTCAACGTGAGAAAGTGAGAACGAAATAAGTTGACTAAACGATAAACTTTCTTCTATTCTGCATGAAATACCTATATCATGATTTGGTATTATTTGACTGTGTAGATACTCAGTTTTAAATGCTTAAATTACGGTAAATAATAGTACTTTTTAATTATTATTAATATTTGTGTGTTAATTTGAGCCTGTAATTTACATGTATGCACGTTTTTCTTTATTTCAGATCAATAATTTGGTGGTAAGTAAAATAACGAAAATTATGATACTTTTCATCAAATATCCACTATCAAATATTTTTGCGCAGTCATTGTAAAAATGTAAACATTAAACCAACATGAAGAAATTTCTTATTTGCATAATTATGGAAGAAGTATCATGTGTACACTTGAAACAAAAAAGAGGGGGAAATAGATACGTTAATTCAAGTAGACTGACTTGGGTTTCGTTGAATGGGTCTCCATTGCGCTATATTTCGCGCATTATATTAAAAGAAAGCGTTTTTCTTCGCCTTTAAGGCAATAAATTTAATAAAGTTTAGAAAGCAGAGGTAAACTATCTAATATTTTTGTGTAAAGAAATGATTTTTTAAACTATTTTGTAACCGATAGGCAGATGGATGTCGTTTTGTGCTATTGAGCGTTATGATAAACTTTAGTTATTTATGAGGGGATCACAAAAAGTGTTAGAAAAGACAAAGTATAAAATATAAGCTTTTGAAATTTTCAACACATGAATTTGAGAATATCACGATTAATTCTGGCTATTTTCTGAAAAAAAAATTCTTAGTGCCTGTCGTATTTTGTAGTATTCCATAAGAATGGGACATTTTCGTAAATTTTGACATTTTGAGATGCCCCCTCTGGAAACCAGACTGTAGAATTTTGTGTTTCTTACAAATAATGCTCAGTGTAGTATTACTCATCATATATTGTAATTTGAGCCAAATTTTAATATTTTTGTAATTTGCTTTAAAGTGCGAAAAAAAGCATTTCCTCATAGTATCCTATAGTAAATATAACTGAATTTTGCAATGGTCCCTAAAAATACCCAGCCGGTAGATTTTTCTGAAACTCTGCATGTACAGCATCTTCCCAAGTCAAGGGTTTCTGATCCACTCCGCTCCACATAAACGCTTGACCGAATAGACGGATTTTGACGGGGTTTACTATCGCCGCATCTAGTAAGATTACTCATTTTGAACTCTATTGAACTCTGCTATTGACCAATCAGAGTAAGCGAATTTAATAGAGAGTGCAAGATAATGTTGAAAGTCGGTAATTAATTCAGCATAACAACTCCAAAGCTGAGACAAGCTTTAACTTGGTTATTTAATGGCAAAAACGTTTCGTTGGGACAAAACTGACGTGTTTTTTTTCTGTTTATGATTAAGTTTTAGGATAGACAAAACAAGATTTTTGATTAGCTCATGTAATCTTTTATGAGGCCAATCAGATAGCGCATTTATAACCCCGTCAAACTCAAGTCTATTTAGTTAATGGTTTATGTTGAACGGAGTGGACCCCCCTTGACATAGGAAGATACATGTACAGTTAAGTCAATGCATGCTACACATGGTATAAAAGTCAAAAGTAATGACAACTAAATAAAGACACCAAACAAAAAAATCTTTAGAGGCCACGTGAGAATGGGTGAAGGATTTAACTGGTATGATAATTATTGAAAAACTTTAGCAAATGTTAATGTATGAAAAATTACAGGCATTCCTCATCTTAGCTCATGAGAACTGTGTCGAACTTAAAACAGTATCTCATATACATGCACTAGTATGATGTCTAGTCGTTGAGTTTTGTAGTGTGTCGAGGTCGTCAAATCTACTGTGTGTCTTATCAAACAAGACAATTCATGGTTTGTGCGATATTTATTGACTAAATCGAAGCATTGTAATAGCACTGTATCAAGTTCCTCAAACATTATTTAATTATGCAATGCATAGAGACCCCTTATTTAAATGCATGCCATTTGCATACAGCCGTACTGCAAAAGAGCTTTGCAGATAATCAAGATACAATATCTCATAAAAATCATATCCGAAGAAGCAATGGTAAACCATATTATCTCAAGCCAACCCATAACCTTTCCCTAACAAGAAATTGCGCGGTTCTCGTGTTGCACATTTGCGACATGGAACCTTTCTACGACATTGGTTGATGCTTAAATTAACCATTTGTCACTGGTCACGAACATAGATCGATTCAGGATAAATAAAGTCGCATGATTAGCCACAGGTTGTGTAGTGTGAATAGCACTAAAATACTAGGCATTTTAAAGAAATGAGCTTACTTCATAAAGTTATTACTTTTGATAGGTCTTTGCATCTTAGCAGAGACGAAAAATGACGTGAACAATTTATAGGATAAGATTGATCACTCAGCTTTCTTTCTCGCCTGCTGATTAATGTTTTTCATGCAAATCAGGGAAACAATCACCATCATTTAATCAAGTTAGATATTGACAATTGCAGGAATTGGTTGTTTTATGACAGGAACACGGTAGTTCTCTGGCCTAGGCAATGGGGGATTTAAACCAAAGCACTTTATATTTTGGCACTTCATTTGATTTCCTTTTTTACGTCCGAAAATCAATCTCCACTTTACGATCTGAAATAGTCTTTTTTATTTCTTAATACCATTTTGTCATAATACAAGTAGTAAATGCGCTATTCATCAAAAACTTGCAAATCATAAAACATTTTCAAAAATTACAACAATTTTTATTATGTGCAAAAAATAAAAAAAAAATATGTGTTGGGAATCATTTTGGTCCCTATTTGATATAAAGGAATACGTTTGGTGGCCAGGGTAGTGTTTCAATTGCTTCATTATACCCCTACTTTTCAAGACATAAAGTGATTGGGTGTCTGTTTGTCAGTCCATCCATCTGTCCGTGTGTACGTCCGTTCGTTACAATTTGGGGTACCCGCTCATATTCGCAACTCCTCTTATACCATTGAATAAAATTCAAGAAGACTTACACGAAATTTTTGTTATATAGTGCCACTTGTATCTCCTATTTTACTTTTTGATTGGTTTTATATTTCGGGTTTCCCATAGCAAAATATTGACTCTGCATTCTTATTATAAAAACAGGGTTACCCATCTTTTATCTTCAACTCCTTCTTACAACTAAATTAAATTTAAAGACACTTTCACAGAATCTTTATTACATAGTGTCATTGTGTCCCTCCTACTTTATGTTTTGATTGCACAGATATTTGAGCTTCTCCATAGCAAACATGGACTTTGCCATTATATATATGGGAGGCGGGGGTATTATTTTGTGAGCTCAGTACTCACAGTACCTCTAGTTTGAATGGTAATAATTCCTTTTTTTCAATTTCAATTTAAGTTTATTAACATTTGATTTTGATTTGTACCATATAACTGATTTCCGACAGTGTTTCAAGTCAGCGTTGTATATTTTAAATTAAGTCATACGCAATCACTTCTTTTACCATTTTTTTCTTTGATCCTTATGACAATTTTCAACTTTTCCCTACAAGCTAAAAGATAATGAAAACAAGGAACTACATGTAGTCTCATTGGGAAGGTTATAAAACACGACAATAGTTAGATCATTACTTTGCAAATTTATTGCAATCTACAAGTAGACAAATTGGTTTAAAAATTGAGTTTGAAGAAGGCATTTTTATTTATAGTTTTTCTTTTTACCTTTTGCCTGTTTTCAAAGGGAATTCGGGTGAGTATCCTTTATCATATTTAATAATTATCCAGATATCAGCATTATATCCATACTAACCAATTTAAAATATCATTTTTCAAAATTAAAGATTTCATTTGACTTGACTTGTAATCGTGTATTACAGGTTACACGTTAATTCTATCAAAAATGTTTTATATTGCAAAATATGCAGCCAGAAAAACTCTTTCTCATTCATTTCTTCTATTATTTTTTTCTTTCTGGTTTTAGATGGTAAGTTGACATTTTTGTACCCATGAATGTTGTCTGCAATGTAAATATATTGTACTTTTAACCTCGAAATGAATGTTATATGTACACGTGAAGGTTCTAGAAAAATTCATCCAAACATTACCGTTGTATTTATTCAAACCAATTAATGACTGTTCAACTGGAAAAATCAAAAACTGTACACGTGATTGACTCCAATAAGTAGTCTACAGCCTTCAAGGCAGCTTAAGTATTTTTTTTTAAAAAGGGTGGGTGGGTCTTCTTTTTTTGGAATTATAAGATTGAGCTAATTTGAAAATCCTTGCAGGAAATCTCTTTCCAAGGTATCTTAAATACATTTGGAGAAGTTACATTCATCTCTTCAGCCATTGATTAGAACAAACCGGGAAAATTGACAAACCATATAAATGTACATTTGTATAATTGGCCTTAATTGATGTTGTATTTGAAGATTTATTGTCTACAGATTTAGCTGACCCTTTGCTATTTACTTTTTGTCCAACTTCAGGATATACATAACACAAACACCCTGCTTTAGAAGCAGATGGGGGATACAACATAAAACTTAGATTTCTTTATTCCTATTTATTTCGTTATTATTGTATTGCTTTTAACTGTTCAAAGTCTATTTTCTAGAAGTACACTCTATTTAACATGTAATCGACTTAATTCATAGTTCAGAAGTTAGAAATTGTATTGAAAGAAGAAGTCAATTTTAAAACCTATGCTGTATAATCTCGCTTATTAGTCATAAAACCCGTCCCTTTGTTTCAAATATAGAGGTTTATTCCTTCTTAGATTTTTTTAATTAGAAAATGCTTTACTTATACCAAAAATGATATATTCAATTGCTAATTTCATGAAAAGATAATGAATTTTGAGAGCAATGTTTGAGTCGAGGACTTTATTAGCAAAATTCAGAAAACATTGTGAATCTTTAACATCTTCAGTAAAGTCAATATTTTTACTATTTTATGCCCGTGGCAAATTGTTATGCATGAGGGTAACGACAAAATGTGATACTGTTTGCGTGGACGTTAATGTTTATGATTTAAGTATGTAAATTTGAATTTTATTTTCCTTCCTCTCGGGTCAGTAATACACACAATGATAAAACAAAGTAAACGACTTGCTTTTTATGTTCAGACAGATGCCGAATTATACTTTATATCCTCTAAGATCGTTAATATATTTCATAACATAAACTTTGACCAAAATTACGATTTTCAGATAAGATTTACATTTGTAGTGTTATTTTCTGCCACGAAAATTAAATTTACTCCGTTTATTTGACCAATTCAGAGAGCTGATGGCGGGTGTAACGGGTCATCAGAGGATGCTTACTCCTTCTGGACACCTGATCCCACTTCAGGTGTTTCCAGGGGTTCGTGTTTTTGCCCTGTTCGGGATTCGCACTGTTTAAAGGATCAAAGAGACCGATAACCTTTTTCATTAGAGGAATTTTATATTCTACAAGAGTGCACTTTCCACAGACTTGCCATAAGTTATAAAAACTAAGCGTTTTCATATATACTGCTTATGTCTCATTAATCAAAATATATTTTGCAAAAAAATATTGTTTACTTTAACGAAGGATTTTTTGACATGTACTTCATCGTATTTTTATCATTATCCTTCAAAATCTCACAGCATCAAGCAAAAGATGTTTGTGAAACAAAAATATAGGTATATCTTCCATATTTTTCTTCACTAAAGAATTGTCAAAGCTTAGAACAGTACTCTATAACTGCCTTTATCTTTGCGTACACTAAAAGAGCAATATTTTGAATAGAAACAGTCTTTCAGACATATTTCTTCAATATTCGTATCAGGAAAATTACTTTTGTCTACAAATTAAAGAATGCATGTTTCTTGTTTACATTTAGGTCAGATTTCCTCTGATTTTTCATACTTCGCGTTTAACCAAATTTCTCACATTTCAAAATTATTAAGTTAAAAGAAATTTTTTAATGAAATACAAGTGTTCGGGCAAATACATGGGTAAAAGAGAAATAGATCTGTTTGAAATGAAATTAACGGCAAATTGAAGCAAAACAATGCATAAGCATGTGCACTGAGTTTACAGAAATAAGATTTATTGAAATCGGTTGATTGATTGATTGTTGTTTTACGTCCCATTCAAGAAATTTTCATTCATATAGAGACGTCACCATATACCGGTGAAGGGCTCTAAATTTTGACCTTTTACTATGTACTTAGGCCATTGAGCAGTGAGGGATCTTTATCGTGCCAACGCCTGCCGTGACACGTGGTCTCGGTTTAAGGTCTCATCCGAAGGACCCGCAACTTTCACTTCAAAGTGCCGAGCGCATGGCGAAGGAACAGTTGCTACCTATTTTTTATCGACTTAGGTCAGCCACAGCCGACATTTGAACTCAAGACCTCCCGATCACGAAGCGAGCTCTCTACCGACTGAGCTACCGTGAACGGTTATTGAAATCGATGTGATCGTCAAACAAAGTTGACTTTTTCGTTGAAATGGAGTCATATGTAAACATTCCTGGTCTGGAATAATTCTTCAGATCTTTATCTACATCTTGTATAAGGCATGTATTTCAATGATACGCGTCAAATTACTGATAATTTTCATGAGAAAGTAATTTCTTATCTAACGAAATGTAAAGATAACGAACAGTCATGAATATCAAAAGTTTAAGAATTGTCCAAGGTCAAGAATTGAAACAATACAAATTTGGAGCAGAGCAAACACGGGCTTCTAAACATCAGAGGTCGGATAAGGTACCATGGAGGAGTAAAGATCCCTTGTCGACCGGTCACACCCGCGGTGTACTCCTTGGATTGATTGATTGATTGTATGTTGTTTTACGTCCCGTTCGAGATTTTTCACTCATATAGAGACGTCACCATATACCGATGAAGGGCTTCAAATTTTGACCTTTACTCGGCACTCAGGGCCATTGAGCAGTGAGAGATCTTTATCGTGCCAACGCCTGTCGTGACACGGGGCCTCGGTTTTAAGGTCTCATCCGAGGGACCCGCAACTTTCACTTCAAAGTGCCGAGCGCATGGCGAAGGAACAGTTGCTACCTATTTTTTATCGACTTAGGTCAGTCGCGGCCGAGATTCGAACTCACGACCTCCCGATCACGAAGCGAGCGCTCTACCGACTGAGCTACCGTGAACGGTTGTACTCCTTGGAATGATCGGGAAAATGAAAAAAATCCTGGACAATTAAGTATGAAACATAACAACTTGTATGGAAAACGTCAGTCAACATTTGACTTATATTTGCTGACATGTCATTGTATCGACCATAGAATTTGCGAAATTTAACTTCAAACGAGACTGTTGACATTTTTGTTTTATCAACTTATTTGTCAATAGCTTGCCTCATTTAGAAATTGTTTGTACGTAGAGCATGGTCTTGCAAATCAAGTCAACTGGGAGACATAAATCTTACTCTAATGGTATATTGCTTTATAGATAAGGGAAGTTGAAAATAGATAGTCATTACGTTTATCATAAAATTTTGTTGTTAGGTTCCCATTAAGATTTTTTCCTGGTAAAATAACCATTTATTAAACAGATGCATATGTTTACTGCAAAGGTGATTTAAAAACTGAAATTTATTTGGTCTTATCGGTAAAATTTTAATTACACAAATATGACATACTAGGTTGAAAAAAAAACCGTGAAACTGTATGAAATAGATATTTCATATGTTCGTATATAAATTATTTCTGATTTGTTTTCCTTTCTTTTTCCTTATCACTCTCTAAAACGATTCATCAGATGTGCAGGGTACGTATAGATATTTCTAACATAATGTCGCAATGAAATCTATTCCAAAATTTTTATAAACATTTGCATATTGTATTTTCTGATGTGTTTTATGGTTTATATACAGATTCATCCGAAGGTAAGCATTTAATTACGTTTTTTTACCCAGCACTCGGTGTCATTAACATATAATTTTGTTCTGTAGCCTTACACTTGTCCTCTCCTACCCGTGCAGTTCAAGTCTTCGTCATATCATCATGACTGTCCTACACTTTAATTAAGATTTTCTGGAACGATTTGATAAAAAATAATCGAACTATGTTACCTATGTAATTTGGATTAAATTCGTGGTCAGGGAATAGGGTAGGGCCACAATAGTTGATTATATATTGACGTGATATATTTTATAATGCATATATCTTTAAAATCTTCTTAAAGAATAAATCATATAAATATACAAGCATCCCCATGCAACTTTTTCAAATCGAAATATATAGAGAGAGATGTAAAGGGGGAAAGGTTGATTTTCTTCTCCTCAAGACTAGCAGAACAATATTTAATCAAACATTCCCATGTAGCGTGGTTTTTAGTTCAAATTATGGTCCCTGTGCTTAGAAAGAGGCTAAACTAGGGGGTCAAAGTTTTACAAAATATCTAGGAGATCTTCTCCTAAATTCAAAACCATTGTTTGTTATTTTGATACGAAGCGTTCTTATGTATTCTGGATGTAAGTGTGGTGAAATCATCGTCCCTTGCGACTGGAATATACATACATAAAACCAAAAAAAGGTAAAAATTTCAAATGGGAGAAGTCTTTTTTAAAAATCCTAGAAATTCTAAATAAAATCAGCTCTCTTTTTGACAAATGAGTTAAAAGCGTAACTAGATATCAATGATAAAAGTTAATATATTTAAAATTTGAAAATAGTAGGCATTAAATAGTTATCTAAATTACGTGCATTAATTTCTGTTGAATAATTTTACGTTTCTATTCTCATGTTTATTTTTTTATCTATAGATTTTCATTTATTAATTCCTTTATCTGTTATCATTTTTAATATAATGTTTCATGTTGGTAATAAATAAAACTAATATCTGAATGGTAAACAAGGTGCATCCAATCCTGACGTATTTGGAATAAAATGAATTGCTGAAATGTTAACAAAAAATGCTAGTTACATAACCTAAATTTCATTTCTCTTATTAGTCACGAATGATTATGTATTACCTGCTTTCAATTGGTTTTCTTAAAAAAATTATATTTTTTACAGAATTGCCCTGGAGCTGTAAGTCTGTTATTTGATACTTCTCTTGATATTGTCTTTGTCATTCTTCTCTTCTTAATAACAATAATTAAACTCCTGCTAACCCCCATCCGTCATTCTCTAAGCCTTACTTATGAGAAAGAATCTTTCATATTTTCAATTTGTCATCACATTCTAAATTTGTAGCTTTGTAAATTAGAATTGTATGGACACAAGATAATAGGTTAAATCTGTTTTCGTTGTTGTTATTACAGGATACCAAATCATTTTTAAAAAGATATTTTCTTTTTCTATTTCAGTTCAGAAAAAGAAATTCAGATATTTCGTTATTACGCCAGGTGAGCTTTTATCCGTAAATTTTATAAGACCTGCATTATGTTGTAGATTGTACAGTTAACCATTTAAGAAACTACGAATGATGATTGGGGCTTATTTTACTCTTGGGAGAAATTTCAAGTGAAAAAATTCCATTCTTCTGACCTTTTTATTGTTAACTTGCATGTTCTTCAAATCAGAGTAATAATATTTGCATATGAAGATAACACTTTTCATCTTTCTAATAGTGGTTGACATGCAATTCTTGCATACAAGGTTTTAAGTATATTCAAAGAAATACTGAAATTAGAAATGTACGCTTGCCGTTTTAAGCAGTCTCAAGGGAAATTGGGCAATCACATTCTATAAATATCTTCTAATGCTCGTAGTGTGTCCAGTTGTAGTATATAGAGAAATTATTTATCCTTTACATAAGCAAAATATTTGTCGTCAGCCTTGGTCTCTGTGAATAATTATTTTCAATTGTTCTGTTTCTACAGATGTTTATAATCTGACAGGAAGTAAGAGGATATTGATTTTACATGTACCTAAAGACACATTACTCTTCATTGAATATTTATTTCGATGATGGGATTGATTAACTACATATCTTTTTAACTTTTTTGTTTCAACAAAGTTACTTTTCGAAAAGTTTTTCTTCCTTATTGATTGAAATCAAGACCTATCATTTGATATTTTCGTTTTAACTTTTCTAATGCCTATCAAGTAATACAGTTAATATTTACAATTATTATTAATATTTTGACATCATGGCATGAAACTGGTAATTATTTCAGCCCCTTTTCTATGGAATGTAATTTATGAACGACGACTTTCATCGGGAGAATGAGGTTCAATCAATTAGGACAAAACATTTTCAAGAAGTTAAGACATTGAAAATAAAAAATAAATATCCTCAGATTTTGGAGGAAAATGCAGTTGAAAACAATTACAAACACACAAAGATTAAGACGGACGGCAAACATTTTTACAATGCTAGGAGAGGTATTTTATACACTTCTACTGAAAAACACCACTAAATCCTTTGCCTTTCACGATCTGTAAGAAAATGAAAAAAATTTGAAATTTTTTAATTGCAGATATCTAAGCGAAAAAATTAGAAGCGATAACAAAAAGTATTAGGAAAAAAAATACCAAAATATAAAACAATTGCAAGGAATTGTGCAAACTAGTAAAAAAGATGCATTACCACTGGTTACTAGCAAAACAAAAAAAAATCCTAAATAGTACGTCGTGTTGATTATTGATTTAGGCTACCAAAAAACTACTGTTTAAAACTATTTAAACATGCAAATAAAATTTAAGGCTCTGATTAGGAAGTGAATTTTAGTTCTACTTGTACTATATTGCATAACTTCATGAATATACATACATATATTGTAGGGTCTAGTAAATGTACTTCCAAGCTCTTATCCTTATTTTCAACTGCCTGCTTTATGCAGAAACTTTAGATGAACTTCGTGACAACATATTCAGAAATTGTGTAAATCAAAAGATTATCCCCACAGCTTAAAATCATTTAAAAATTTGAAATCTCATTTTTTTTTCCCCCAAAAAAATTTCAGTATTTTTATATTTATTTGACGTTTTAAAACTTTATAACACCATTCTTAAAACAATCTTTTTGACATAGTAGGCAACTGCAGGTTCAAAAAGATTAAACTTCATTATTGTCATATCTTTCAATTAGTCGTCTACAAATACATTGTACAGTTAAATTTCATATTCTCCACTCCAGTACTCAGAATTTTATTTTAAAAAGATTATTGAGTTCCTCATTAACAATATCTATCTTACCTTTGAAAATTAGGTCTTTCAACAATCAATGGGAAAAAACTCCTCTTTACCATCCGACAAGTTTTATGAAGTAGAATTTATTCAAAATCTTGAGAAGAAAACTTTCGCTGTGGCCTTCAATTCGACACTTAAATATATATCAACGACTTTTCATCAATTAGCATTAAATCTTTCTCTATTCATATGGTGACTCGATATGTCCCAGTGAATCATAGTGTCTGCCCCATCTGGTTCATATTGAATGTTTTACAGCATATATACATTTAATGCAAACTAACAAGTAACTGGTAGACAAAAAAAGGATGACTTTATTTAGCTTTTCCAACAACTTTAACTTAATGTAACAATTTTCCGTTATCTCTCCCAACTGATTCGCTACTAAAGAACTTATTCTGTGTTCGGTCAATTTTTAAACCGAAACAGGTTCTGACAAATAAGTTAATGTTACACATTGAGGTCGGCAATTGAAGTGGGCATTTTGCATACGGGGTATCCGATGTCTAGTTATTATGATAATGACCATGATTGCAAACACATGCTATCGTTTGATTGAATTTGGACTATGCGAAATGCCGCCTTCAAATGAGCTTATCTTTTGAAACAATCGTTAGGCCATTGCAACGTACTCACGTCGCACTCACGTCGCATGTGACGGAGGGTTCTTTCTCTTACTGACACGTTATTACACCTCTGGTGTTTCCACATTTTTCCACAACTCTCCATTTGTAATTTTTATGACATTGTTCACTGTTTCTTATCTTCAACATTTTCAATTAAATAATTTTAATGAACAGGAATAGCCCCGAATTACAAAATTGATGCTCGTGAAAACAACTGGTAACAAATGGAAGGTATACATTCTCAAAGATATTATATCGTATACCTGGAGTCGATGCAATGTAAGCCGGACGATAATAGCATATGGTTTTTTATCGTAGTGTTAGAAAATTAATTTCGAGAAATTTTCATGTAATTTTCAAAGAAAATGAAATTTTAGTGAAAATCTAAATGAAAAGTATTTACATGTTCAATTGAAATGCATCAATCAAACTGAACGATTTATTTGATGATTCATTTGAAAAAAAAAACCTATGTGAAAATAATCAATTCTTAAAAAAAAAAAAAGTAGAGATTATAATTTCCCAGAATAAAAATCAAATGACAAGTCTCTTTTTGAATAAAATCGTGAAAAGTAAATGATAAGAGAAACAAATATATATTCTTTTACGATGTATATCCACAACAGTAATCCGGCTTTTATATATTTATAGGACCCTGTGGCAGCGTCTTTGGCAATCAGAGAAACAAACAATGACGGATTTGGATGGTCTCTATCTGGCCTTCTTGGTGCCCTTCACAGATTACACCAAAATCCATTCTCTTATAATGACGACGCCATTTGATGATAGCACATTTTTGCCCCATTAACAAGGTACCTGTAAAATAAGGTTTGATCATTGAAGGAGTTTGTATATTACTTATAAATTAATGTTCTAATGTAACGTAAGTTGATTTATCTATAGAAAAAAAAAGCAAATTCAACTGCAAATTGTTCTGAAAAATATTATCCATAAAATACAGAATAGAGATAAGGCCGCTAGAATTTTTTTTGATAAAAATAAACATCTTTAGGCTTTAATTGATAAAATGACATTTTTGTTTGACACATCATATTATATTTTTTCTTATTTGAACATGACAATGTAATTATTTGGATGGCAAAATTTAGCAATTGAATTTTAAAATTAAATAAAATTTGTCTTTCAGATGGACCATTTCTCACTGAAACATCCAAATTCAAAAATATCAAAACTGTTACCGCTAATTCGGGAAAACAACATTCTGTTTAACTATTGAAGACAATAAGCTAAACTGAATTTTCATATTTAATTTATACGATATGCTCTACATACATATTTATATTTTCATGTCTTACAACATACAAGAAGTTTGTTATTTTAAAGTAAAATAAAACTTTGTAAAATCAATGCCTTTTTATTTGAAATTGATTCAATCCACCACGTTGTAGGCCATACGAGATCAGTCGTTCGCGTGGCACCTCACTGCTCGAAGGCCGTATGTTCCGGCCTAAATTTGCAGCCCTCCACCGACAAGTGGTTGCGTCTCAATATGAGTGAAAAATTCTCGAGGGGGGCGTTAAACAAACATACAAATATACAAGATTATGGTTGATATTGTTTTGTTGATTATGTATCTCGATCAACATTCATGTATTAAAACAAGAAAGCCAAGAAATAATGAATATGATCAGATAAATGCGTCTCCATATGAGTAAAAAATTCTCAAGAGGGGCGTTTAACAATAAACAAACAAACACACTGAATTGTTTACGGATTTTTTCGTTTTCCCGATCCCGACCGATCGGCAGGGGAAGCTCACTCCTTCATGGCACCTGATCACATCTTGATGTTTTAGAGGTCCGTGGTTGATATGCTCCTTATTTGTATTGGTGTATTTATTGAGTGGACTTTTGAGTTTGAATACCGTTCGTTACTTTCATATTTCATTCATCAGATGGCAATTTTCTTTATAAGACTGATTTTTTACGAAACATACACATAAATTGGAGGCAATATTGTACGCTTAAGATTACTGTTGATAATAAAATCTGTATAAAATTCCTTGAAATAAACTCTTCTGGAAATGCGACTACTTGATTTAGTTTGTTTCGAAAAAATATTCAAAAAGGAACTAAATGAAACGTCTTCGGTATAAGAAAAGTAAAGTTTTTGTAATTGGTTATCTAAATCGTCTAATTTTATTTTAATTCTTCTTTTTTGTTTAATATGCTATTATCTCCAATATTGATGAAGGAAAGAGAAGATACCTTGTATTTGGATATAGAACCAATATAAAGAGCATTTGACTGGTGGAGTACAGATCTTTTATACGAATTGTTAGGCCATTATTTTCACTCTGAATTGCCTGCGGATTTTTCCTTTTACCTAATCTTGATAAAGAGCATACGGCGGGTGTGTACAGTTGATAGGGGATGCTTATTCCTCCATGGCACCTGATCCCACCTTTCAGAGGTGAGAGGTCCCCGTTTACACTACCCACAATTTGTATTGTTTAATTGGACTTTTGAGAATGATTTGTGTTCATTTTTTTCACATTTCTTTTTCATGTTCTTTATTTTAGTTTAGCTTAAGTTAGTTATCAACAAACTAAATATTCCACAACATGGAATAATAAAAAAGAAAGTCAAGGTATTTGTTTGTTTTGTTTTAAACGGTCATATTCAATTTTGCTTCATTAAAACATTCAATTTTGAATTTTATTTTTTTATATTATACAAAAATTTACACGTGAATAACAAATTCTAGTCTTTAAAGTCAATGAGATTTTCCCCAGTGTATCTGATATCCAAAACATGCTACAGGTACACCTACATCCTGTAGAAGAAACAAACCGGAAACGAGCGGATATATGTTTCCGTGTTTTCTTATTACACGAGTCGCTTAAAATGTTTAGAATGATTTTTTTTTAAATTCAAATAAGACGCAATAACCATGGGGATAATCTACTCTGGCCTTTGGTCAGTAAAGGAAACCCCGAGACTGACAAAGCGGGCAAAGTTCTTGGAAGAAAGGAGGAGACAGATTGACGAAATGTTGACGGAAGAGGATAGAAAAAAAGCTGGTAAAATGTGTTTTATAATTGGACCTCTATAAAATCACACAAATAACATTTTACATATTTTTTTATCTAATGCAACCACTTAATACTGTACTGAAATGTCAAATCTGTTAAGCTTTATAAAGTAGTAATTAATTTGTAATCGTTCCCTTCCGAAACCTCTGATTTCTTGCATTCGTTTACCTTGTAGGCCAAAGTATCAATCGACAGAGGAATTTGTTCACCAAGATGCCATCTATACTGAGTGATACTGAAGCAAGAGTCTTAAGGATTGAGCCAAAGGAATATTCAAAAGACTTTCCGTTTGAAAATCTTGTTTTTAACGGTGGAGGGGCGAAGTTCATTTCTTATGCTGGTGCAGTCAAGGTCATAATTTATTTTTTAAGAATGTGGGGTTTTTTGTTGTTCAAAAAAGTAACTTTCATAAATATCTCTTGAACAATTATTTTCCTTAATTTTCTGTTTAAAAGAAAGGAAGCTTCAACATAAAATTAATTGTACCCACACTAGCGTTATTCAATGCTAACAATTGTGAAATAACAGCACACTAGTATTTACTACTATTAACCATAGAATAATTTAATATTTAATTATTATTTTCAGTGTTTGGAAGAGATGAATATCATGAGAAATATCAAACGTTTCGGTGGGAGTAGTGCTGGTTCTGTGTTGGCCGCCCTCTTGGCAGCAGGAGTTACAATAGAGGAATATCGCGATGTTCTGGAACAAGCACTGCTTAATATTCTAGGTACAATCTCAGAATTGTTTTATATCAGATGTACCTCTATTTTTTGCCTGTATGTGTGAAGAGGAGAAATAGCTTATAAAGAATACAATGTACATGTTTATACTGTGAAATGGTTCATTCGTATCTTTTTTTTTTTTATTTCAAACTCTTTGGGCAGATCACATGAAATTTCAATTTTAAAAATTTGAAGCGAAAAGAAATCCCTATTTCCCGTGTTAATAGAGTCAACTTGCTTTTTTCGTAATTTTCTAGACGCACGCTGGGGATATCTTAGTCTGATTCCAAACTTAATGCATCATTTTGGATGGCATCCTAATGTGAAATTATACGAGTTAATTGGAGGGTTATTTGAAAAGAAACTAGGGAATAAAGATATTACCTTCAAAGAGGTAAGGACTGTTACAGTGAACATGGTTAATGCCTGCCTGACTAAAAGTATTTGAAAGGAGAACGAAAGCTATTTAAAAATAGAACATTGTACATGTAGTCTTAATTACATAATAATATTCCAACCCTTAAAATTACAAAAAAAACTTACATTTTGTCGAAAATTCAAAGTGAAACTCGTGATAAAAGAAATGACATTGAATATGTAATTAAATTTTCAATTATTCATGAATTGAAAAGTATCTAGATAACAATTACATTAAAGCAATGACATGACATTCTGTATCTTATTCCCGATATATTTTGTTGAACATTTTTATAAAACTCAAGATGTATGATAAAACTGGAAAAGAAGTCTGTATTGTTGTTACCAACTTGAATTACCTGAGGGAAGAGTACTGTCATCCTAAAACTACCCCAGACATGCCAATCAGACTAGCCATTCGTATGTCTTGCTCTTTTCCAGGTAAGTTTGCTCTGTAGCAACCGCTAATGATAAAACGCCGCTTAATGATAGAAATATCATCAAACGTTGCGATTACGAGGGGTGATCAAAAAGTTCGCGAACTATCAGAATGAAATTTGACACACATATAGTCATACATATGTTCTATAAATAGCAGATGTTATGTAATATTTTGCTCGATGTTTGTGACGTCACAATGTGAAAATAACGTCATTATGTAGTTGACTTGTTACAAAAAATGGTTCACTCAGTCTTACTCGAGCAACGAACGACTGTAAAGTTTAACGTATATCTTGGAAATTCCTCTGCAATAGCATATAATATTTTGTACAAGGTTTATGAAGACAAAAGACTTGCCAGAGGTTTAATCAATAATTGGATTGGCTGTTTTAGTGAAAGAAGGGAGATGGTTAAAATGGTGTTTGTTTTGTTGCCAAGTGAAAGCAAGCTGAGGAAGAGATGTATCCTTAGTAGAGCAATTTGATATGAAAGATCGCCAAGTTACAGTTAGAAAAATAGTTAAATATCTTAAAAATAATATAATTATTAAATCCCTAAATTATCGTTTACTTTAGACTTTAAACATATCAGATATTTTAAAAAGAAGGCGCCCACACTATATCTATTTTTGATAAACGACGTTCCTAAGACGGAGAACTCGGGTTGTGATGGTCACCATGCTCATTCTGGAAAAGGATATCCTTATCCACACATCCTATTTCCGAGATTTGGTCATTTCTGGCAAATTGATTGTTTTTGTTATAAAAAATAACTTGCATGGTAAGAAATATAAGACTCGGAAAAATCTTTCAGCTTCTGTGAACAGAACGCTACAGACCGCCTGGATCACGTGATTCGCGCATGGGCAGAACGGTGGCAATGTACATTAAACTTTAAAAAATAATAAACACTGAAACCTAATTTTATTTCTTTCATGGAAGTAATTCAACCCCTCGTACAGCGCATAATGATATTTCTCATTAATCGGCGTTGTATCATAAGCGGTTGCTACTACGCTGTACCGCTCTCTTTCATTTTTGTCTTTCCAGAAAGAACTCTATGTATCATTTTTGGCAAAATATGTCAAGAAAGTGTTACAAAATATTGTCTGTATTCAGCGGGGTAGCTTTTAGATATGGTACCTTTCTTTTTTTATCTTGAGTTGTACATCCCTTTCCTTTTACTATATGGAGGGTGGATATGGGGGGGGGGGGGTTCGCCGACAATATATGTCAGTTCTAACAGCACATATTGAAACCGATTCAGTCGCTTTTATGTAGCAGAAATAGAGCAAATTGTCGCCAGCGATACTGTTTGTATACCGAATAAGTCAGAATACATTCATATGGTTACATATTATTCCGGCTACAGTATATATTTGATCACATGATGGAGGTTACAATTTCCATGAATGAGTTGTGTGAGTATTGTAAATCAGTTGAGTACTGTATACCATTTTCATGTTCTTTCCTTTTAGGCGTTATGCAGGCAGTCCAGTACACGCAAAATAATGAAACATGCACTTACGTCGACGGAGCAGTGTCTTGTTATTATCCAATATACTGCTTTGATGGTAATTGGTAATTTTTTTCTATATTCATATTTTTTTTAACCTTAAGATAAAAACACTCCCTAGCGTGCAATTTCTGTAACAATGGCACTAAATCAATTGAACATTTTTATCTGTTATTTGGTAAATAGGCTCTGTTATTTGGTAAATAATTTTTGAATGCCATTGAAGAGTGGCAATTGCATAAGCTTAATACATCTGTATCCTCTGAAAGAACAATAATAATATTTTGTAAATATAAGAATAAAAATTAATATTAAATGCAAAATTTTATAATTCAAATAATCAAGAGTACATATTTTCGAGTAAGTATACAATCTCCCCAGTATTATGCGTAACGGCTCTTGAAATGATTATCCTTTTTAAAAAAATGAAGTATAAATACCAGACAAAGCCTATATATTTACATCCACTGAATATTATTTCCTTTATTTCTTATAAAAACCATTGCCGTTAATCAGTCCATAAACAACACTTAGCAAGCCACCTGCATAGATTTCTTAAGCAACGGTTGTTCCATCATTTATGCATACAATGACATACACATCTATAATACAATATTTAGCATATTTTATTTACTTTGAATGTTTTTTTTAAAGATATAAATATAAACAATAAAATGTCTTTCTTTTTTTTTGTTAGTACGGAAATTAACATCGCAGCTATTGCAGAAAAAATTTACATAATCCGCATACCCGGGTTATGTATTCTTTTTCTACAACAGCTGCGACATTAATTCTCGTACTAACAACTAAAGAAAGCATTTTACTGTTTAAATATACTGTACTTATACGTACATATATAAGTACAAAAAAATCTCTGTACCTTGCCTCTGGACTCTGACTCTCTCTCTCTCTCTCTCTCCTTTTGTTTGTGTTTTTTTTTTCTTTTTTAAAAAAAACTTAAATACTTATAAATATACATGTACCAACTTTATATGGTTTTTCATATGTGCATGTGTAGGAGTTTATATATATATATATATATATATATATATATATATATATATATATATATATATATATATATATATATATATATATATATATATATATATATATATATATATTTGAAATCTAAATGAAATGTGAAGATAATGAACGGTGATCTAATTGTTAAAATAAACAGGCAAAATAAGGGGAAAATCTCTGTTTATTCTTTATTAGAAAACAATTTTCATGTATAAACATACCATCTTTATAGTTTTCTTATGCACATGTGTGTATGTATATATGGAACTTTTAAGAAATTGTTATAAAATATATATACAAGCAATTTGAAGGAAAACAAGCTACGGTATATCTTTATTCTTCTTTGGAAGAATGAAATATATAATTTTTTTCAATTTGCATGTTTATATATTCTAGTTTGTACATGTAATTACAACTCGTTCAAAATGAAAAATTCTTAAAAATAATGTAGAAAAATCATATGTTATGGTATTAAAAAAATAAGACATAATTATAATTACTGAAAGTAAATGTACATGTATCTTCACACAGTGGACGTACTCCGACTAGTTCTTGGCATAAAAGATTTATATGCAGAACTTATGCCTCGATGCAGGACCATACCAAGGATATCTTAAGCTAGATCTATGATACTGTCCTAACGAACCGGGAGAGAACTTGAGAGAAAGATTATTTTCTCAACGATAGCTTCAATATATGTCAAATTATTTCTCTCTCAAGATGTGTTACATTGTTAAGTCAATTCATTAAACAAATACTGTGAAATCAGTAATTTCATGGGGGTTAAATTTTCGGTGTTTTCATAGTATAAAGAGACCCACGAAGTTTAAAACAATACGTTCGCGAACTATCTCTATATTTACAAAACCACTGTTCAGATCAAAATGAAATTTAGCGAACATATAGTCATAAACATGTTCAATAAATAACAGATATTAAGTAGCTCTATTTTTGTGACGTCACAATGTGAAATCACGTCAATATGTTAAAAATGGTTGACTCAGTCGTACTCGAGCAACGAACAGCCTTAAAGTTTGTCGTATATCTTGGAAATTCCTTTACAGTAGCATGTAATAATCTGTACAAGGTTTATGAAGACAAGACTTGTCAGAAGTTTAATCATTAGTTGGATTGATTGTTTTATGTTTGTTCTGGTGCCCAGTGAACGTAAGCTGGGGATTGATCTGTCCTTAGTTGAGCAATTTGTTATGAAAGATTGACAAGTTACAGTTAGGATAATAGTTGAATACCTTAACAATAATATAGTCATTAAATCCCTAAAATATCGTTTACTTCAGACTTTAAACATATCAGATATGATAAAAAGACGGCGCCCATACTTTATCCACAATGGATAAACGACGTACCCAAGACAAAGGAGTCGGGTTGTGATGGTCACCATCCTCATTCTGGGAAAAGATATCCTTATCCACCCATCCTATGGCCGAGATTTGGCCATTTGTGACAAATGGACTATTCTTGCTCTAAAAAATAACTTGCATGATAAGAAATATAAGACTCGGAAAACTCCTTTAACTTCTGTGAACAGAACGCCTGGATCACGTGATTCGCGCATGGGCAGAACGGTGGCCGATGTGCATTAAAATCGGAGAGAACTACTTCAAAAACACTGAAACCTAATTTTATTTTTTGTTTATATTTATAGGATGGTGGCTGTCTATGGACAAAGGTAACAGCTTCATAGAACGACTTCATCCTTTAGATGATGTTCCTGTTCTGATGAAGAATGAAAACAGATTCAAAACGGATCCAGCCACGTTCAATAAAACTCTAGGTTTCTATCTGGTAATAATCCTTTTTACAATTTACAAAATGGCTGTCTAGTTTTGTGGTTTATAAGATTTAAACAAAACAAACATTTTTTACGAATTGTCGGTAGTTTTTGTCTTTATCCCAAAATACAAAATGGATTGATGTTATTGTAACATTTTCCATTAAAAAATAGTTCATCCAAATACACATCTCAATATGCAAATCTATTTAAGTCGAGCTAATTACCTAGGAATCTTGTAAACAAAGCCACCATAAATTATAGGTTTCTTCCCTTAAATATTTCAAACAAAGGCTTTGATTGCAGCAATTGTAAAACAGTGACCTTATTTCACGAAGCAGATCTTGAAATGCAAAGTGAACAGTTTTATTACGGCATAGTTTTATATGTGTCATCCATGTAAAACATATGAAAAGTTGGAGGGTTGATCCAAACATAATCTCACGACTGCTATAAAATCTTTAGAAATCGAAAGTTTTCAACAAAAGCATACATATTTTAAATACCTATATCTATTTTAAATTTCATTCAGATGTATACTATACGTTACAAAATATTAAAATTAACACAACGATGGGTCTCATCTATTGCCACACGACAAGAATGTACCGACGTTATGCCGTTTCTAATCCAGACTCGTTTTGAATCTGATTATACAGTGTATATGATTTAGGCAAAAGGAATGCAGTTAGAAATAACATTTGGATAAAGTTCAAATTATTTTATACTACAACTCAAAACAAACGGTATAGCAAAATGGGAATAAAGTTTATTAAAAGAAGTACATGAGAGATTAAAAAGATACGTAGATGGACTGAGAATGAGTGCAAAAAAGTAACGTCATAACGATGTTGGTAAAATTCTTGCCGTGTGGCGATAGACAAAACCTGACGTTGTGTTTATCTTAATATTTTAAAAAGTATTTAATATAATCTAATGAAATTTTAAGACAAAAATAAAAAAAGATAGTACTAACCTTAGTACGTCAATTTTTGTTGATATCATTTGATTATTAAAGATTTTAGAGCAGTTGTGATGTTGCATTTGGATCAACTCTCGTTCTTGTAGTTTCCTAAACATTTCGGTCTCAGCGATTTGTATCTTTTTTACGTGTATTACTGGTAAACGTTTTCATCAATAAAACAGTTTTGTGCCCAGTTCAGGTGCATATAACATACGTAGATGATCCTTTTGCGATTTATACATCAATTGCTGCAGAAAATACCAAAATAAGACTGAGAGGCAGATGTCAGATTATTTCTGGCCCACGGTCCCCCATTTCCTCCGGACAAGGCTGATGTAAGACAAAAGTTTGCAAAAATAATTTTTGCCTTTGCAAAGGTGTCATACTTTTAGGCTTATTCAAAAGGACAATCTGACCAAAATTTCCCCAAATTAACCCTTAGTTTAAACACTGATACCACGGTATGTTATTTTAAAATTGCTTAAAAATAACCTAATAATAAATAATAGTGAGGAAGAGATATAAACCCTGAAACATTGTACATTTAAAGGATAGATTTATAAGATTTTTTTTTGTTTACTGTCTTGTGTCACTTTTCCCCAAAATTTCATTTTTTTTTTAAAGATCTTGTCTTTCTGGTTCTTTGATAATATATGTTTCTTAAAAAGTAGTCTTTTTTTATTAATCATTCATTTAAAAATGCAATATTACTATTGAAATTTGCAAAAAATCCAGGAACATTCTAAGTCATTTCTTCTTTTTTCTCTCTTCACTTTAACCAAAAGTTTATGTAAGATGTTTGTTTGTCATCCAATTGGCCTCAGTAGTCTGTTAGCTTTCCACATTTTCGACCTTATCCCCAAAAGCACATAGTTAATTTCAACCAAATTTGGCACAAATGTGTTCAAATGAGGAGTCACACCCTTCACAATTATTCCCATATAATGAAGATTCAAGTTTGTTCAATTTATGGCCCCCAGTTCTAGAGTTTGGCCATAATATGGGGTCATTTTTGTAATAATAATAAACAGAAAGAAAAGTCTTTGAAAGAGCAATTAATAGACTTACAGTTAATTATACTGATATGTTTGTGTCTTCATGTAGTGAAGAGTCAGTTTGTTCACATCATTATTCCTGGGTCTAGCGTAGGGCCCAAGAACGAGTGAAAGTTTTAAAAGGGAGCAAGGCTAAATATGTAAATTTGACTTCAAGTTTAATATCCATTATTAAAATTGCTGAAATCATTGAATTTGATGACTTTGTCGATTCTTATATGGGTTTCATTTACCTACATATTTAAATGTAAGAAAAGCTATGACTATAGGATAAGCTTTGTGGTCCTTTGAACTTTTCTTTCCTGCACTACATTGAAAAAATTGCAATACATGTACTATTATTATTGCTAGTATCATTTTTCATGCCAATAAAATGCTACTTATTCACAAAGTATTCAGAATGCAGAAGCGACCACGTGAAGTGGGAACTAGACAAGAGAATGGGACTGAATATTGCCGAGTTACCAGACACAAAACTAGCGAGGTATGATGAATGAGTGAGACAATGCCATAGATACACAAGTAAATTTGCAACTAATTTTAAGCGTATATTCATAAAAAATATCAACATATGCTGAACGTATCTTTGTTATCATATGTTTACAGCATTCATTTGTTTGGAATAATTGTTCTTATGGCTTGTACAATCACATTAAGTTAAGCATACGTAACATGAATCATACGTTTGCAATTTTACTTTTTGGACTCCAGTTTTCTGTTATTTATGATCTACCAGTTTAGAGTTTTTAGAGCCTTTCTTAATGTCAAAATTTGGCATTCTCACATTTTGCGGTTTTAAAAATGTCATTTTGTAAACGAAATTTTTTTTCTGAAGACTCTGTAAAAATTTAATTTGCCCTTCAAAGCTCTTCTTTTTTCCCAGAAAAATGGGAAACAGAAAGAGATATATTGATCGGGCTTCCCGTGAACACAGGCGTATCGTTCGAGCACTGGATGAATTTTTAAAGGTATTTTGTAAAATCTTACCTTTCAAAACAGTTAATTTATAATTACCAAACACAACATATTCTGCGCACATTAAATATTCAATAAATATCATTCAGTTTACTTTTTCATTTCTAATGATTCAGACTTTTACAAGTATTTTAAAACATTTAATATTTACTTTGAAAAAAAAAGCAACCAATTAAAAACAGATGTATAAGAGATTGCTTTAATCTGAATTTAAATAATGTCATTTGTTAAGGTAATAAAGAAAATGGTCTTTGACAAATCGTCGATAACCAGAGATACGTTTGAAGACGCTTTTGATGATGTAAGTTCATTTTGAAAAAAAAGGTGTATCGCAGGGAAAATGCTGTACCATTTGCTTTATCCATGCTGTTTTGTAAAAACCCTCTATTTCACTTAATTCTGCTAAAAATTAGAAACGATTGTAAATTCCTATTCAGGACGATGTTCAGGAACAATGTTTCAGAATTTTATTTGGAGATGATTGTTCTGCTAGGGAAGCATTTAACATTTTAGACGAGGATGGAAATGGAGAGGTAATGCTTCACAATTATAAATTATTTGGTTGACGGAATGGTATATAACTCAAATCGATATATATGTTTTTTGTTGTTGTCATTGTTGTTGTTGAAGCCCACGGCTTGTTTAGACAATATGATTTTATTTTATATGATATTTTGATAAAGATTGGCACATTGTAATATAATTTGTTTTACTTTCTTTTATGTGGGATAATGAAATCTTTTAACAGATTTTTTTTTAAATCTACTTAGATCAGTTATTCCGAGCTAGTCGACTTCATACAAGGTATTGGAGTACACATTCAGCAAAGAATATACGGACTTGAGAAACTTGAAGTGAATTCTATTTCATCTTTCATGTCCGCCATGTTGACTGCATTTTGGGCTAATAAAAACAGAGATGCTAATTTGGTAAATGATTAATAGGATATTGAAATTACAAATACTGTGATAAAATATCATTGAAGGTGTTAAATATCTGCTATACAAATCATAATTAAGATTCGATTTATCACTTATTAAAATTTTACTAGTATGGAAAAAAAAAATATGTTTACTGTGATAGATACTACAGTTTTAACAACACAATAATCATTCTTCGGTGATTAATTCGGTAAGTCTACAGCACAGGGTTTTTGTATGTTTTGTGGCTCTTTAATGAGGTTTGGATTTCATTGTAGGATGTCGAATTAGACAGGACCGTTGGAATCAATACAATATATGTCGACACTCATGACTATACCTTGGAAAAAGAAGACATCATGTTTCTAGAAAAGGTATCTTAAAAGTCATGATTGATTGTTCACGGTATTAACTATCTAGTTTTATCATGTTGGTTACTCGCTATTATACATGGACTTTATATCTTGTTTACAGCAAGGATACAATGCAACGATGGTCTTTCTACGGTATTTCATTGCGAAATCGGAATTCACTACTGACCCAAAAGAAAAGAAACTTTCAATCTGAAAAATGACTGTGCTTTCTGTATATCTTACAGTGACCCCGAGAATCAGGCTGCTTAAGTTTATATAGGCGGATTTCATTTCCTTTAAATTTATGTTCCTTTTAATCACCTAATTGATCTCTTATTGCATTTTTGTACAATTCCATTTCCTCTAAGAAATCGCTGCAAACAGAGAGCAGTGTTTGAATCTATTTTTTATTCCTTGTGATTTGTGTGAAATTCAATGTTTTGTATTTGGATCTTTGAAGATTTTTAATCATAATTTCAGCAATATTATTTAGAATTAATTAAAACAAACCTTTAAAATTCAATGAGAGCAAACAGAGTCCATTAAACGAATTGATGATAAAAGGGAGAAAACTCGTGCTTCTTACATACGTTAATTAAAATCATGTACCTTCCTCGTCTTTTCAGTTTAAACTTTGCAATGACATAAAAATAATGGATTTTTTAAGCAGTACAATTATTTTCTTACACACTAATTTGATGTGAATATTGCCACTAAACTTTACTTAAATAAGATTTGAATTAAGTTAATTATAATGACTTAATTAAAGCATCCCAGTTTTAAGCAGATTTTTGCTGTTGTCCGTGATGCATCGGTTACAATTGGCCTAAATTCGGTTTTTAATTCTGAAACTAGTACATCGATTACAATAGATTAAATTTCAAGCATTAATGTTGCAGTTCTTACTATTACCTGATACGGTCAAGTTCGGTTCTTAATAAATGCATTTTTTGAATACTGTAGTCACCTTTTCTGGTTCTACTTCTATGTTTTAACAAGCAACTTTTTCTTCAATAAAAATGGAACTTGCAAATGTTCATTTCTTGTGATTGGCCTTCTACAAACTTACTTTGATGAAAATCTCTCTAATTCTGCACACAGGTACTGTGAGATTAAAATTAGAGAGAGGCTTACTCGAGTTCCTCGCTGACAATATTTTTATAGTCTCTGGAGACTAACTTCTCCAACAATTTGTTGGAATTTCCATGGTTTCTATCTGTGCTCCTTTATTACAAAATCTGTTTTTATAGAAAATTCTAAAGCAGAAATTATTTTTCAAAAATTCTACATGAAAGATTTATGAAGTATGACTGAAATAATGCAGACTCGGCGTCAGACAACAAATAATCATTCAGTCTACATGTGCGTATTCAAAATATTCCACTGAACTTGAAATAAAAGATACCAGTCTGGCACATATGTAACGTGTTTGGTTGTTTTACTAGAAAAGGACATGGTAAATTCACAACTAAGCTTTATAAACGTGATGGCTTCACTTTTTTAAGATTTCCAACTTCACTTATTTATGTAATAATATACCATTATCTCCTGTGTCTACTAGTTGACTTGATACGCAAGAGCATGTTCTACCAGAAACAAGGATACTGACTAATGAATTGATGATAAAGAGTATCGATAATTTTGGCAAATGTTAACATTTTGCAAATTCCATATGGTTATAATTTTGACTGACATTTTAATATAGATTGCAAAGCCATTATTTTCAAACTGAATTGTATAAGGATTAAGTATAGTTTACCTGATCATGATAAGGAGCTCACAGTGGGTGTGACCGGTCGACAGGGTATGCTTACGTCTCATTGAGACGTAAGCACTTCTAATGTTTTCAGGGATCAGTGTTTGTCCAGTCTCAAATTGTCATGTTTTATTGGACTTTTGAACATGATTACTGTCAATTCTTCATCTTCGTATTTTTTGTAAAAATTAGCATTTTTGACCGATTCTCTTTCACTTCTACAGTGTGAAACTATATTAACCTTTGTAGCCGTTGAAAGAACCTTTTTTTGTAGATTTATGGGATTGACAATTTTTCTATTAGAATCACTGCAAGCACTTAACATTCAAGTACACCATTATGCTTTCATCATCACTGATAATGCCTTAAACAAGCTTGTACAAAGTAATTAATGGAAAGGGTCAGGATAAATAACATTGATAAATCTCGTAACACTTATAAAAACACGTCCAGAATAGGGTTAAACACTAACCCCTGGAAACTTCAGATGTGGGATCGGGAACCTAAGAGGAGTGAACATTCCTTGTCTACCGGCCACAACTGCTTTGTCCCCTGTATTGATCAGAAAAAAGGCGTATCACGTAGACAAATTAGTATGAAATCTAGATGTACTGTGATCGCAGAGCTCACAAAATGATACCCCCGCTCACACATGATTACCTTGGCAAAGTCCCTTTTTGCTATGGGAAACCTCGAATATCTGTCCAGTCGAAATGTAAAAAAAGAGGTGTACAATGGCACTATGTAAAAACGATTCTGTGAAAGTCTCATTAAATTTTATTCAGTGGTGTAGGAGGAGTTTCGGATAAGGGATGATTATCCCCAATATTATAGAAAGAATGGTAGTGTCAAGATTTTGCTATAGAGAACCCCAAATATCTGAGATAAAAGAGGGGTATCCCTAAGCGTTACGAATGTACAGACGGAAATATAGAAGGATGTAAAGACGGATTCCCCAATCACTATATACTCGCTTTTCAAGCGGGGGTATAACAATGGCCTCACAATTTTTTATGAAACCATGTCAGTTTAAACGCGGCAAAACAATAAGTTGCTTTGCAAAAAAGCTATAGATCAACTTAACCATAAAATTTTCTAAATGCTTAATAAAGACTGTTGAAAGTTTTGTAACATTAATTTGTTTCTTTTTATCATTTGTCAGTAGCCTTTCCGGGCTTTACAATTAATTGTGCAACGAATAATTGGGTGACTTGGACACCACATGCAGATAATAATGCAATGTTGTTATATAAATATGGAAAGTTGACAGTGGAAAAGTTAAGATCCTCGTTTGCCATATACTGTAAACTTACTTTTTCGCCTGAGGTTAATTTACGCCATGTACGCGGTCATAAACTTTCCGCGGAAAGTCACATCGTACTTTAAGTCATTTAAGGAGGCTGGGGGTCAACAAATTAACCATCAGATATAACTTATTTTTTTAGATATGATATCTTAAGCTGTCAACTATCAATTGGCAAAAAAAAAAATTCATACATTTAGTTTTAAAATTTGATCTTTTTTGTATATCTTTATATGGAGCTCTTCTTGTAAAGGAGATCAATATAGTCTAAAAATGGCCACAACCACCCTGCCCTCTTAAGACATACAATGGCAATCCAAGAAATCAGCTTAATTTTCTACCCGCGGATTGAATAAAAATTTGAATTCAGCGGAAGTATTACCCCGCAGTAGTTTAGTTTACTATTAACGTCTATATTCAGTAAAACATTCAAGAGGTTTTTTTTCTCATGTAGAACTTGTTTGAATAAATTCAGCTTCATAAGAATACAAAACATGGGGCTAATAAAAGAGCATGATTTTTGTCCATAAGAATTCCAACAGATTGTTGAAAACTTGGTCTCTAAAGACCACCTAGATGCATGTGTTACTCTGAAATCACTCATTTTTAATGTTTTCGTGGTTTGAAGAGACCCACGAAGTCGTGTCCTCCACAAATTGTAAAATTTCAAATAAATAACAACTAAGCGTTTATTTATACACGAAATTAAATCTCCATGAACATTTTATTTTGCTTAAACCACGAAAATTTGACCCACGAAAATATGTGATTTCACAATATTATAATAATATTGTCAATAAGGAACTCCAGCATCTTTTTTTGTATCAATTTCACACTATTTTTGTGTAGAATGAGAATGATTTTAAGCAAAGTGATTTATCACAAGATAAGAAAATTCCAAAGTTCGTTTTTATTGCAGAAGCAGTTGAACATGATATCAAAATTCCTGATCTTCAGTTTATCATGAGGAATTGTATTAAGTGTACCTTGAAAAATCATACGATTTTATGGGTTTTTTTTTTAAATATTGAGATTTCATTTCTGAAAGTTAATTTAGCGTTTTTAGAAATCTGCATTTGATTATCGCCGCCTCTTCAATGTGTTGAAGCACAGAGCATCTAAAGTTTTCCCTTCACAGCAATTAATATTTGTGTGGTAGAGTTTGGTAGAACATTAACTGGACCCTGCAATCTTTTTTGTAAGGAATTTTATAAAGTTTTGAAATCCAATATAGATAACGAACTCAAAATTGCTTAAAATAGACCATCCTAGGAATGACGTTTTGAATTCCTAGGTCTACCTGTTTCTAACTTTACAGGTGCTGATTCTGAATGTAGTAGAGAAAACAATCTGAAACAATATCCTCTCAAACTATCTTGCTCTTCAATTATTTTCCCGCTGGAATAAATTATGTATTATAGGTGATATAAATGTAGCTGAAAATAAAGACAAGAAAGCAACCATTTTAAAAGACCGACCTAAATACAGAGAGCCCCGATTCTTTCAATCGGTGACAAAACTTCATTTAATTTCTATTATGAATTCTCTATAGGACTATGCCAGATGATGGGCTATATATGACGGGAAAGACCTGAACACTGTCAGAGCGGATAAAGTGTTTTAGAAATATATTAAAGAGTCGTGTAAGAAAATCACAAGGTCATACGGTCTGCGAACCATCTATCCGTCCGTTTTCAATAAATCGGATAAAAGAATTGTACAGACTATATGAACAATATGTAATGGTTCCAGCTGACACGGCTTGTAACAATTTTTTCATCTTGTTTGTAGGGCTCATTATTACAACTGTTTTTAGAAGAACTTGTTTTAAATTTTAGATCTGGAAGTTCAACTTATACTCATAATTCATTTTCTAAGGATGTAATCATTCAAAAACACAGTTAAGTCTTTATTACTTTTATATTCCAGTCAACGAAAGTGAATTTGATCTAGCCTACCTATGTAGGATTCGTTCATAAAAATCCTTTCAAACAAAGATACATTGCCGGGTCAAGCAAATGCTCTAACAAGCACTTATCTTTACTTCTCACAAAAATAATATCTGCTGTAAAAATATCTATGAGAATCATATCAAAAGCATGGTCTGAGTACTATCAATTCTTAAACTCAGACAGGCTCCTGACAAATAAGTTGATGCTCCATAAATTTCAACAACCGAATGTCAGCATTTCGTTAATTCTATAAAGTCGTTAAAATGACCTTGTTTTTCAAATACGACCTATCACTGGGTCGTATTTTGACTGGCATACATGTATTTTATACCAATATCTATGAAGTCTTTTGAGAAACTCTTCCACAATCTTTACGTCTAAGAGTACAGAATAAGATTTTTTAAAGGTGTAATATATTTTCAATATATGACCAACTTAGCCCAAATCTGGTGTTTCAACCCTGGATCTGGTCATGAATTTTAAAGTATGTGTATAGGGCTAAATTTTTAATATAATTATGCAAACTATTTGCCTGCTATTTGACCACGACTAAGGAAATATTTTATTAAATTGTATGAATTTTAACGCTATGCACCATATCTCAAGTCCAAGGGACCTTGAAATTTACAATAATTTTGTTTTTTAAGTATACATGTATATACCAAAATCGGTTGAATTAAGTTCAGCCACAAAGAGAAGCTGAAAATGTTCAAAAGGTTATGAACGCACGACAATGGACGAGAACACATATGTGACTCAGGTGACCTTACTTAAATCAGCATGCTGGGCCACAATAAATTATATTTATGTACAGGAATCGAAATGTAGTTCAGATAATTATTTGTTCAAATTATGAACCCTCGGTGTAGGGTGGGGCTAAAACAGGGATTCAAAGTTTTACTTGGAAATATATATGGGATTTTTTAAAAGAAAGAGCAGCATGACAACATTGAATAATACTAATATGAAAACATTCCCAAGTCCTGTGATTCAAGGTTTTTTTTCTTCAAATAAATTACCCTGAGGTTAGGGTTGAGCTGAGATCAGGGATCAAAACTCATATAATAAAAGTATAAAAGATCTTTTCAAGGACTAGTTGTCAAATTGTAAATTTTTGCATTTACTGCCGCCCAATAAATTCAAAATTTACAAAAGGACAACAAGAAGGCCATGTTAGTTATCTTGCTTTTTCTTAGGTATTTCCATGTTGTGTAGTTTATTAATAAAGCGTTTCTGCGAAGATGACTTAAGATGATTTAACCGAACACGTGTAGTTTGGTTAGACCATACTCTCTTAGGTGAGGGTGGAGCCACAATATGATTAAAAAATTTTAAGTGAATACAGGGGGAAAGTTTTATTGAAATCTCCTGAACAGATAAATGCATGACTTTTTTGGGGCCTCTTGATTTTTTTTAGTTTGACAAATCCTACACAGATACATGTGATCGTAGTGAAGACCATGTCTTCTTCTTCCAGTAATGCGCCGGACTCCAATGCTGGGCATTTTCGCACACGTCAATGGAAATGCTTTACACACTCACAAATATGAAAAAGTGATTTTTCTTAATTCACTTCATGGTTAATAATACATGATTGATTTAATTTATGGTAAATGGTTAATACTCTCAAGAGTCTGTATTCAATGTTCGTTGGGATTTTTTACACGAATTCCCACATGCGTGCATGGAATAACTACTTTCTCTTTCTGAAAGTTAATTTTAAATAATACGGAATATGTATCTTTTTATGGTGGCATATTTCTGCCCCTACATGCAAGATAAATTATGTTAAAAAATGTCAACATCTAAGATAACTATGATTATGTTGACATTCAAGTTACCAATCTTTTTTGAGAATCTAATATTAATGTTGGTAAACTTACTTTCTAACGCCAGTGTACGACATCATACAAGCAAGCTGCAAGATAATAATGTATATATGCGACTTATTTATGTCAACATGCGACTTATGTCAACATACAACTTATTTATGTCAATGTACGACTTATTTATGCCAACATGCGAGTTATATTTTTAGCATGCAAGATATTTCTTTCAATATGCAAGATTATAAGTTGAATGTTGACATATATATCTCGCATGTTAACATAATTATCTTGCATGTTGACATAAATTAGTCTCATGTTACATAATTATCTCGCATTTAAACATAAATCATTCGCATGCCAACATAATCCTGTTGTATCTTTGCTTGTGTGATGTCAAACAATGGCGTAAGTAAGTAAGTTTACCAATATTAAAATTAGATTCTCTAAAGAGATTGGTAACTTACATGTCAACATAATTATGTTGCATGTTGACATAATTGAGTCGCATGTCTAAATAATTATGTTGCATATTAACATAATTTATCTTGCATGTAGGGGGCAGAAATATGCCACCATACTTTTTAATGCATATATATTGATTTAAAATTCCCTTCAAAGTGAAAATACATGAAAATGAAGGGTATAATCAGTAATTAATATGCAATTTTACTAGATGTTGACAAAAATATGTTTTTCGAAACATCAAAAATATCTTATTTTATATTGATTTGAAAATTCATATAATACTTGTTTACTTCTTATTTTTATTTATGTGTTTACCAATAAGAACATAATATATAAAATGAACGAAGAAAAATGCGGTCGATACTTGACACTAAATTCTTTTAAGTTTCACAACATGCAGTCTCTTTCAAGGTTCAAAGTCCATTTATTTAAACTGTCAAAAAACCAGTACACTGCAAATGCCTTTCCCATGACCCGTCAAAACAACCCATACTTAACAAAAGCAAAGTGTTATATTTTTCATTTTAAAATGTTGGTAAGTAATTTTTTCCACTAAACCTTAAAAGTTGGGACAAACCAAAAATATAAAGACTGCATGCTATTTTTTTTTTTTTACAGTGCACCTGAAGGGTATAATTTTAAATTTTCTTCGTTGTGTGTTGAGTCATCAGTTCTGTGTTGAGCGTTAAGAAGAGAGGGTTCATTTGATAAACGTGATAAAAAAAATCCTAGCGTTAGGTACTCCGCATTGAGGACATACGCTGTCACTACTGATCTGCACGTTCCTTCTTTATAACCATTCCCAAAGTGATTTTCCATTGGCTCTTTGAACGTCTCGCGTGATAGACGAAGTTCAGTTGACCGTGAATATTGAATAGACATAAAAATGGAACCCAGAAGATGGTCCTTACAAATGAGTAACTTCCAGAGAAGCAGTGTTTCCTGACAGTTTGATATTATTAACTTTGCTGAAGAATACGGTAGAAGATAAAATTAAAATGCTTCGTGGGACCTTCCTCGCCTTCTGTGTACTATTTCCTGTTTTGGAGGGCGCCAAAAAACCACACATACTCTTCATTGTTGCAGACGATTTGGGTACGTATACTGTATGAACTGAAGAAGCACATAATTTTAATTAAGGTAGTTAATTAATAACTAATTAATAACTTGACGTACTATATCAATTCAAAATTAATTATAGTTCATTTTACAAATTTTATGCTGGTATAGTTTAGTAATTATCTTTTCATTGAGGATAGAAGCAATTAGCTGTTACTACGTTAGACATAACCAAAAACAAAAACAAAAAAAAATAATCTCTGGAGATCTTTGTTGTATTATTAGAATTAGCTGTTATGTAAGTTACTTGTAACTGTGTTCTGTGTGTTTACTTTGGTTTATCCTTTCCTCAATGATATCATTCTCGTGTGAAAAGGGTATTATTGATAAGCCTTCATAAATGTTCAGTAAATATTTAAGGTCATAGATATATACAACGGTCACATTGTGTACTTTATTGACCTTCTCAGTTGTATTTTTGTGATGAAGATGTCAAAGAAAATCCTGTTTGTTTGTTTTTTTAATCTTAAGGATAATGATCGAATGAATTTTCCAAAGATTGGGTTATCCTTATACATGTTATATTCATTTAATTTAAATCTATATTCATCCTGTATTAGAGTTATAAACAACACGTGCTACTGTGTCATCTAACATGTCATCTAACCTATCTAAAGCACTAAGTGCATATAAACCTTGTTCTTCTAATCTTAAGCAATTTAAGAACAGATTTGTTCTAAATATTTTTGAGAGAATTAAAAGGTCGTCGACTCTTTACATGAGGTGACTAACTCTTCATACATAAGTTAAATCCCGACTATATACACTAGTGTACAATCATTTGACGTAATTTAAACGACATGCTGCCAAACTGAAGCACTCTCTACCAATGCCTTTATAAACAGGAACTTTTTTCCAGGTCAAATACTTTGCCAATCGTACGATCACGTAGTAAATATTTTTACTGACCTCATTTTTTCGCTGTTTGACCTAAAAATTTTGATTAACGACTCTATTTGACCGCGCTATTTAGAGTTTATCTCCACATTAATGGAAATCCACACCATAAGATAGGCTTCAAACCAGGCCAACAGGTGTAGGAATCATCGCGTAGTGTATCGAAAGAGACTTCCATGCAGAGAATTTATTATTGTTTGAAGCAAAACTAATTAAGGTGTCGCTGTGAGAGACTCGTTGGGAATTTTTTTTATAACAAACTGTGTGTATAAATTCATTAATAATTAAGCAAGGTCAAGATACATATAACTTTTAACACGTCTGTGTGGTACCTGATTATACCCTGGTTGTAACCACAAAAGATGCACCAGATAAAACATGCTACAAGACATAACTTTCGATAAGGTTCTGCATATAATAGATTTCTTCTTTTCTTCAAATAAGTGATTTAAACTGATGTAAGCTGGTGTTTTGTCGCAGTGAATGGCCACATTAGTAAATTAAACCCAAAAAAAACAAAATGACTTCTAGCTAGTGCTTCTTCAGATATACATGTATATAACTATTATTTTCTTTAAATTTAATAAACAATTACCCGATCTGTTCATTGTAAGGAAATCTAAAGTATATTCAGAATAAAATGATAAATCTGTTCATTTCTTTGATAGGTTGGAATGATGTTGGGTGGCATAATCCGGATATCTATACACCAAATTTGGATAAACTGGCGCACTCCGGCGTGATATTAAACTCCTCTTACGTTCACCCGATATGTACACCGTAAGTAATTGTATATTTATTAAAACTCCCTCTCCATGTGTTTTCATACTGCTGAAAGCTGCAATACTCCCAGAAAAAACTGACAAATTTTAGGTTTTGATTCAGTCACTCTGAAGGAGGAAAAATGTACCATTTAGTGAATTTGTGGCATACCCTTCCATACCAGATATCCTGATTATTTGTGAACATCAGTAGTCGGGTCATTTACTTTTTCAGGTCAAGAAACAGTTTCCTGACCGGTGTCTACCCTTTTAGAGTCGGCTTATCAGTAAGTTTGATCTTGTTTTGGCAAATATCCTTTTTTTAAACTTTTTTTGTTGATGCAGACAGCACAGAGGGTAAAATCTACAGGTGTCACGTGTCACCAACTTGAAAGCTATTCACATTTGTTAAAACAAACTCTTCAATGAAATTCTAGTCAATGTTCGCAATATTGAATAACCTTTCTGTATTTAGATTTACTAGCTGTTAGGTAACGTGTCGACTTTGGCTTTTAAGGAAGGTTACTAGTACCTTTTACAACTTATCTTAACATTGAAGGAGATGGGGAGAGACACAATTGACTTTTAAATCCGATGTTAGACAAATCTTCTTAAAAGTGAACGGGAAGAAGAGTGAGAAAATTTACAATATTCCCCTTTAGAATATTTTGTCTTTTCTTTATGGTTCTAAAGTTTCGATAAGTATTCACTTAAAGGAATGCTAACTAGACTAAGTTTTATCTATAATTAATAAACATGTATTAAACTCAAGCATGTGAATGCTTTTCCTCAAAATCAAAAAGCAATAACTGAAAGCATTTATTAAAAAAAAACATTTTATAATTAATATACTTGTAAGAAGGAAAGAAAATTCGTACAGTTGTTTTTCTTTTAAGAATTGTTCCACCCTCTACAAAAGTACTAGCACTTGGGCAACGGGAAGTCTTTCATCTCCTTCCTTGTCTAGTTTAGCCAATGACAATGTTTTATTCTCATAAAATGACATATAAGTACTGTTTAGAGCCAGGCGCTTTCTGTTTCAAATGATGACACATCGTAAACGCCCTCAAGCATTCTGAAAGGTTTTTTCTTCGTCTTCAGGGTACTGCAATCGATCCTCGACAACCTCGCTTTATGTCTCTGGATACGCCAACTCTCCCAGAAAAACTCAAGAAACTAGGTTACTCCACGCATATGATTGGAAAGTATGTTAATCAAAAACGACTGATTTACAAGTTTTGAAATACGTATAAGATATTATCACCAGCAGCAAGATTCTTGAAAGACATCAAATTTGATAGCGTTTAAATGAATACAACTCTTTTTTAGCTCTACTGGTCAGAGACCAGAAGAGCTTATGCGATAGTAAGGTGTCCGTCGTCCGTCCGTCTGTCTGTCTGTCCGTCCGTCTGAAAACAATTTTTCAAAACGCTACTCCTCCTACAGTTTTAGTCTGATTTCAATATACCTTGGCACACAAGTAGACTACACTAAGGTACACAATTCTATGTATCAGTTTTTGATTTCGATGAACGGTGTTGCCATGGTTACTAAAATTAGAAATTTCCTTGAGATACTTTCAAAACGCTACTCCTCCTACAGTTTTGATCTGATTTCAGTATAACTTGTCACACAAGTAGCCTACACTATGATACAAAATTGTTTATATTGTTTTTTTTATTTTGTTGAATGATGTTGTCATGGTTACTAAAATTGAAATTTCTGTAAAATTCTTTTAAAAGGCTACTCCTCCTACAGATTTAGTCTGATTGCAATAAATCTTAATAATACAAAAATCTCAATAAAACAAAAAGAGACAACACCAAGGATCATTATTCTATGTATTGCTTCTGCAAAGTTTCAAGTCCAAGTGCTACTTTTAAGTACAAACCAGTAGAGCTACAGTCTCGTCAGAGACTTCTAGTTCTAAAATCTAGCCACCATAAAATAAAAGGTTACCTCTATTAATTATATTACTTATCATTGGTTCTAATTAATATCATTATTCATTTGTTGTTTGTTCCTTTATTGTTTCTTCCAATGAGTTCTGCAGTCATTCCAATTCCTATAAATGCTTATTGCAATTATTTTTTTGCAGATGGCACTTAGGATTTTGCAATGAGAACTACACACCAACTCGCCGTGGATTTGATTCATTTTTAGGGTTCTATGCAGGCGCGCAGGACTACTACAAGCACATGAACGGTTGAGTTTACTTTTAACAGCCATAAACCAATCAAGTATGGATTTAGATTGCTCTGAAATCTCCTATACAATAATGTCAACAACAGGATTACATAAGTCTCAAATAAATGAATACTATTTTTATGATTTTTTTAATTGGTGAAACAGTTCTGAAAAAGATTAAAGAAGATTTACAATACTTGAATTTAACAGAAATCTGACCTATTTCTGATTTTTTTTTTATAGATGGAGGGTATGACTTCCGGTTTAATAAGACTGTGTTTTATCCACCTAAGAAGCAATATTCTACAGTAAGGATGAAAAAATGTTCTTTTCAAATACCCAACGCCATTTCGTTTAAAAAAAAATAAAGCCGACTTTTTTTGTGAAATCATTAATTAAAAATGCTTTGATTTCTCTCAGTCAGAGCATCATCTATACCTATACAAGAAAACATTGATGTTACCATCAATTGTCGCCCGGTAAATAAATAAAGTAAACAATGGAAATGAGTCTTGATCATCAAACCGCTTCGATATGTGTGAAAAAGGCATGCTCTAAATGATGGAGACGATAGTCGAGAATATTTTGAAAACTTATAGTCGGATGAAAATCGAACAAAACCGATACCCTTTTAAACTTTATCAATTCCTCAAGTAAATGTTGGCTGCATAAAATATAATTTGAAACCAGACACATGCATCACCTATTTTCAAAAAAGAATATAAAACACGAACTGTGTAAAGTACTTTTTTTACGTTTTTATGCGATAAGAAAAATTTGATGTTCTAAAAAAAAAGGACCTGTCGTTTTTTCGATAGTAAATGATAAGCAACTTTATATATTAAATATGAAAAATATATATATTTTTACAGATTCACTTTATGGAAGTAAATATATTGTGTATCTCGTAATTTATAAAGGGAAAGAACATTCTGATTAACAATCTTTTTAATGTTTAGAAAACCTTTAATTCTGAATAACTTCTCTCACCTCAATCCCCATATACCAACACTTAAACTTATATGTATAGAGCAGCCCTGTCCTCCGGGCTGCAACAAGCCGAACATCTAGAGTTTTCACACAACTCATTATAACACAGACAAAATTAATGTGCATTCTGTCTTGAAAATATTAAGAAGTCGTCAAACTGACTTATTTATAACCCCAAACAAATCAATTCTTATTTAACACAATTTTTCGGATAGAAATCAGACATTTTTCTTTTTTTTTTTTACAACGGTCATTTAAATAATTTTAAAGAAAGTAGTACATCCATTTAGAAGCACAGATTACATGAAATTTGTTTTTAATTACTGTTTACGTAATGTTAGGATTTATCGGTGTAGTCATGGTTTTATATGAGAGGTTACCTGCAGGGTCAGGAATGTCTAATTCAGAATCTCCATCAAATTAATCATTTCGAGATTTTTTTTCTCATGGATTTTGTACTCCTGTATGATAATCAAGTTCTTTTTTCATACACATTTTTCTGTAAAAATCATTGTCCACGTATCACTGTTTATGACGTCATTTACATTTATTCTGTGATATTTCTTCTTCATTTTAAAGAAAACTTACGCCAAAAGAGCTGTAGACATAATAAAAGAACACAAGAAGAATAAAAACCCGCTGTTCCTCTACCTAGCTTTCCAGTCTGTTCACACTCCATTACAGGTAATTTAATAAAATACAGCGTGATGCTGAGAAATAGGGAAAATAAAATCAAGCCAGTGAACCCTCTGTGTCATTTTATTTGCCAACGTCTATCTATTAAGTATAGATATGCAATGTTTTCTGAACTGAGTTTTTTTTAACTTTATTTACACCATAATTTTACAGGTACCAAAGAAGTATGAAAAAAGATACCAACTTTTGAAAAACAAGGACAGAAAAATATTTTCTGGTTCGTGCTCAAGGTTTATATAGTCAATTTTTGTTAATCGTCAGACGTACTGTGCTACAGCATATTCTAGAAGTGGTGTAAATCAAATGTGGATTCTCAAAAATTCCAAAGATTTTTTTAGAAAATTAATTTAAAATCTCAATAATTTCGAAAGTCAGTAAGATCAAACCGTATAACTTTTCTACATTTTATACAACCATTCCTCACGATAAATTAAAAGCTAGGGTTTTTGATATATACATATAATAAACAGCTGCTTCTTTAATAAAAATGGAACTCGGAAATTTTCGCATCTTGTGACTGGTCATCAACAAACCGTCACTGTAACTCAGTCGGTAGAGCGCTCGCTCCGTGATGGGAATGCCGTGTGTTCAAATGACGGCCGCGACTGACCTAAGTCGATAAAAGAATAGGTAGCAACTGTTCTTCGACACCTTGAAGTGAAAGTTGCGGGTCCTTTGGATGAGACCTTAAAAACCGAGGCCCTGTGTCACGGCACACGTTGGCACGATAAAGATCCCTCACTGCTCAATGGCCCTCAGTGTCGAGTAAAAGTCTAAATTTGAAGCTCTTTACCGGTATATGGAGACTTCTCTATATGAGTGAAAAATTCTTGAATGGGACGTAAAAACAACATAAAATCAATCATGGTCATCAACAAAATTACTTTGTTAAAAATCACTTTGATTCTATACACAAGTTTATATGAAAAGGATTCTGGAGTTCCTCAGTGACAACATCTATTTAGTCTTTGAAAACCGCTTTTTCAACAAATTGTTGGAATTTCGATGGGCATAATTGTGCTCCCTTATTAGCCGACCTGTTTTTATATTCATATGCAGAGGAATTTGTTAAATAAAACTGCATCAGAAGAAAACACTTGCTGTGGCCTTCAGCTTGACATTCAGTTATATCGATGACATTTTATCAATTACAATAGTTACTTCCAGTCATATGTCGATTCGATATATCACAGTGAACTCGAAAAAAAAAAAGACATCATAGAGTCTGCCACATCTTTTTCATATCTAGGTGTTTTATTATAGACGATAAGAGCCAACTAACAACTAAACTGTATGACAAACAAGATGTCTTCAGTTTTCCTATCGTCAACTTTCCTTATTTATGTAGAAATATTCACCTGCATATGGTGTTTACGTCTCCCTAGAGCATTCTCTGAGTACGTTAAATTTAAAACCGAGACAGGCTACTGGCAGATAAGTTGATGTTACAAGGATTTGAACAATCTCGTTTAAAGTCAGCATTTCGTAAATTCTATGGTCGTTATAATGACTTTGTTTACAAATATAACCTATCACTGAGTCGTATTTTGACTGACATATAACATATCAATTGTAAGGCCTTTGTTTTTATACTAATTTGACTACGGAATATTCTGTCGTATATAGTATAGTATAGTTTAATAGTACAGTGTTCGTCGTCCGTCCGTCTGTCTTTTCGTGTGTAAACTTTTTTTTTCAAAACGTACTACTCCTACAGTTTTGGTTCAATTTCAAAAAGACTTGATACACAAGTATACTATGTTAAGACACATAATTCTTTTTATCAGTTTTTGATTTCGACAAACGGTTACCAAAGTATTTTTTATATATTCTTTCAAATCTCTACTCCTTCTACAGTTTTGGACCAATTTTAATAAGACTTTGAAAATATGTACACGTAGATTATACTAAGATACCAAATTCTGTGTATCGGTCTTTGCTTTTGGCATATTGCGTTGTCATGGTTACTAAAAACAGAAATTTCTTTAAAATTCTTTCAAAACGCTACTCCTCCTAGAGTTTTAGTCAGATAAGACTTTACAAAAGCAGACTAAACTAAGATATATCTTTTTTATAAGTACAGTCACCCGCGTGGCGCATTGGTAAGAGCCTTTGCTCTAGAGTCGCGCAGGAAGTAGTTGACCTTTACGTTGCGGGTTCATGCTGGCACGAAAAAAATCCCTCACTGATCTAAGGCCGTAAGTGCCGAGTACAGGTCTAAATATGCCGTCCTCCACCGGCATGTGGTGGCGTCTCTATATGAGAGAAAAGTTCTTGAAGGGACTTAACAAGTAAACAAACTATTACAAGTGCACATCAGTTAAGCTACTAGTACAGTCTCATCATAGATTTCTGGATTTTAGATCACTGTTCATTTTCTTAACCTTTTTCATTTTCTAAAGAAAATCATTTTGCTGATTTTTTTTTCTTCATTTGAAGTTGATATGCTTAATAACTGATGACACAAAAAACTTTGAATGAATTATTAATCAAGTTTGAGTATTCTTTGATGCAAAAATTCCTGATCATCAATTCACCGCATTACTAGTATTAGTTCTCCAATTTCATCAAATTATGACCGTGCAAAATGTATATGTTGCACATTCGTAAATATTTTCTGTTTTCGGCTTGTTTATGAGTTTATATATTTTACATACGCAATCTTATGAAATTCTTCCTGATAGAACGTAAATTAATGTTTATAACAAGTCTTAACTGTAACAATGAAATAGTAAATCAAAGATATTAAATATTGCTTAAGGGTAAATACTTATAATATAGTGAGGACAGATGGACAATGCATTTCAAGATCAAAAGAGTGTGTGACACTAATTGAGTTAAAACGTTTAGGTAACAATTAGCGGATTAACGCAGGTGCAGTAATGGGCGTTAACCTTTACCGAAGGTCAGTCTTGAGTATTAAAGATTGACAGTGATTGGATAGATAATACTGATTAATTTATAATTGGACATGTCAATCAAAGAAAAGTAAACGTTTTATAAAATGTAAAATAGAGTAGAGATATAATAAGAAACAGAGCTAGAGTAAAGACACATTTGGGTTAAGAAGTGCCCGTAAAAGCCGTAACGTTTACCTCATTGTCATAAGGTCTGTCTGTCCGTTTATTTAATTGATATAGCGAGTTTCCCCATATATATATTGTACGGAGTGAAGAGTAACTGATTCCCCAGATTGTTATGATATATTTTATTAACTTCAATAAATGTGGAAAATATTGTGAGTGTTGAGCTAATTCCCTAGTAATCGCCAAGGTGGAGAGACACCGCAAAACGGGCGGTTATAAAATGAACGTCATCTTATTGCTAAGATGATAGCCTCAAAAACTGAAAAAGCGAAAAAAAGAATTTACTGATACGAAATCAAAATCTGAGAAAGAGGTTAAATAAAGTATGATATGTTTTTGTGCTTGTAGGCATGGTAACAGCAATGGACGATGCTGTGGGGGCTGTAATGGCGGCCTTCAAAAAACACAAATTTCTGGGTAACCTAGTGGTAGTCTTCACAACTGATGTGAGTACTATGAAATATGAGAACATTCAACTTGAGATGATTGAAAATTAATAGCACAATTTAAAGCTACTTAACTGAGTGCTCATGTCGATATACATTGTTTCCAATGTATATGTTCTCCTATAAAACCTCATTTTTTTTTCTTTTCTAGAATGGTGGCGCAGCCCATATTGTAGGAAACAATTTCCCCCTACGTGGATCTAAGACAACCTTATGGGAGGGTGGTACTAGGGCTGTGTCCTTCGTGTACAGCAAAAACCACCTGAAAAAGAATGGATACGTTCATGAGGGGTACATCTTTACAAGTTAACCCCTTAATATATCTCTCCTATCTATCATTGAAAGTCATCATTGCACACATATTTTTTTCATATTTTTCGTAAAGGTTTTACACATTGTATATGCATAAATACAATGTGTAAAACCTTTACGAGTATGTTTTATTTTATCTCGTACGAGGTATTTTCCTTGAACTTTTAGGAAAATCCTGCTTTATGTTTCAGATTATTCCATTCAACTGACTGGTTCCCTACTCTTTTAGCAGCTGCGGGAGGAAAACCAAAATTAGGTTTACAAGCAAATATTCTTGTTTCATATTTGATATTTCTTTCTTTGAAGGTAAATGTAATTGTAATTGAAATATTTTCGGTTTCAGAAAAACATATCGATGGTATAAATCAGTGGCCAATGATTAGATCTGGTAAACCCTCACGGAGGACTGAATTTGTCTACGATATTGACAAATCACGACCTTCATCAGCCATTCGGTAAAACTATCCGCATTGTCCCCCTCTTTTTTTACGCGTTGACAAGCTTGACAAATAACCGATATTATTTGAAACTTTTTTTCCATTCAGCCTAATAAAAAACAGAATATTTAAAGGATTTTGATGGATGTTGTAAAGACCATCTTCGCTATCCAAGGGTTTCTGATCCTTTACTCTCCTCACAAACCTGTGAGTTTGTGAAGAGAGAAGCAGATCAGAAACCCTTGGCTAGCGAACATGTGTGAAGAAATGTAATGTACCAAGTCTTATTAAATATTTGTTTTCACCAATATTTCTGTCTTTTGTTTATAGAATGGGAGACTACAAACTAATAGTCGGTAACCCTGGGGACTACAATAGTTGGTACCGAGTGGCAGCGACCGATAGCTTTTGTCCAATCTATGACAAATATGAAACAGATAGCGACCAAGATATATTTATATACGAATCACTTAATCGAATGGTCAGGAATGCTAAAGGTATGAAAATTCATCAAAGTCATGTAAGAAATGCTAATAAGACTAATACTATGATCTGGCATGAAAACATTCTGGCCATAAATACCCAGTACAAGCCTAAATTTGTAGCCTCCCACCAGCAATTGGTGGCATCCCAATACAAAGGGGCGTAAAGGAAGCAGACAAAGAAACAAAAATAATAAGCGCTTAATGTTCAATTCTTTCCTTATTTATCCATTGAAAAGCACACAAATATAGAAGTTCAATAAAAGCTAAGAGTTACTAATGACTAGTATATCATAGAAGTAGATCAAAACACTTATCAATGAGTAGGCCATATTAGATTTTCTTTACATACAGGCACTACTTAGTACTGTATTGACACATTATACGTGGTCTATAGTTTGTTACTCTTTAGAGGACAAGAGACTTTGTAACCCAAACGATACAAGGTAATTGTGTTTATATAAAACAAGTAAATGCTCGCAAGGGTACAAAGAAGGGTATGCACGTTCTTTTGATTCGTTTAGTGATAAGATGATCAGCTCATGAGCATATTGTGATGATAGATATTTAAGGAGCGGCCAGTCACCCTTACCAGATAATTAAAATAAATAATGGTGTCGGTAATCAAAGTCGGTGGTCTGATTCATGGTTGTTAGAGACATGCCATGCTATTATTACCTAGGTTTACCTAAACTAGAATCAAAGTAATACGTGAATTAAAAAAAGTTTAATGAAAATAAAAGTCCAGTAAACTTCACCTGGTCATCGAAATGATGTCACATGAGAATATTTGAATAAGGACAGATAATACGTAAAGTCATTTCTTACTTAGCTGAGCCACAAAACTCGGTGAAGTAATATATATTTCTCAGTCTTTTTTAGGGTCTCTTCTCAGGCTGGAAACATTTCTCTTTTAAAAGAGACCGCTAGCCAGATACCGACAAAATTTCACTATAGTGTGGTGCCATTAAGTTCAGGCCTCGCGCTCTGCTCGTTGTCGGTATCCCGGGTGATCGAAAGCAAGGGAGAGAAAGCGACTGTGCTAGAATTGGAGACCAATAGAGTGACAAGGCAAGAGTGCAGTAACCTTGTCCCCTCGCCCTCGCAGCTCTATTCGATCTCTACTGTTCTCACCGCTTTCATTGCTGCCATTTTATTCTCCCTTCCTTCCATTGTCGCCCTTCTTTTGAAAACTCGCCCTTAAGAAGAAAGTGTGTGAACTAAATAAACTATATCTTAAGCGATCTTTATCTTAACACTAATAGAATATTTTCAGGATATGTTCGCTGGTTGACTGCCAAAATTCCGGGGTTTAATATGGTGAGAAAATGGCACAGATATAGACAGCTAAAGCGTTGTGAGAAGTTAAAGAAACATGACAAAACAAAATGGATTTTCCCGAAATACCTTCTTTATAATATCAAAGGTAAGCTGAATACTATATAAATTATACCTTGCATTGCATATTATTCCTTCGTTTATCATTTCGTATTAAAACAGTATCATATTTTGCTTTATATTGAAATATCTATTGAAATACAGGATATGGTTTGATAACTTTATTTGGAATTTGATTTATGGGTTTTTTTTCTTATGGTAAACAGAATGGAGTATATTACCTAATTGAAAACAAAATCGTGATTCATGGAAAAAAATGAAAGCCTAAGGTATTTCAAACTTGAGGCTAATGTATTGTCTATATGTTTGACTACTGCTAGTACTGCCCAACCTTGTAACTCTCTCAGACTATATAATACACTGGTGTTTGTATGGTTAAAAATGGATGGTTGTCATTATTTTGCAGATGATCCTTCAGAAAGGAAGAACATAGCTGGATACAAACCAATGCTGGTGTTGAAAATGAAAAAACGGTTAGAGCGATATCAAAGGAAAGCTGTGCCTCAACAAACTAAAAAGAAGGATCCACGCGCGGATCCAAAACGTTATAACGGGGTGTGGACCCCTGGTTGGTGCAAATAAATATGTATAGAGACTCAGTTTTCTATATGCGACTTCCTGTCCCAGTATATTCACCGGTGATTTGACTCACGCGGATGGTGCTCGTCTAGACTTCGTTTGAATCGGTGCTCATTATTTGTGAACAATGTTCCGTGCACGTCTAATTTTTTTTTTGATTGTTTGTATATTGGAGGTATTCATCGGACGACAGGTGAATTCAAGCCAAAATACATGGATCTTGCCAGTTGTGTGTTTCAGAAGAAAGTGTGAACAATTAAGGAAAGAATAGAGTATAAAACCTTTGAATTCATTATGAAATTAGCACGAAGCATGAATAGAAATGTCTTAAACATTTTGTGGTTATATATCTGATATAACACGTACGACATTGAAAACATTGTCCGAATTGATCTACGATTACATGTATCTATACACATGAAGCTAAATATCATTGGTTCTAACATGAGTGTATGTGCGATATCCATTGTGCCATGTATACTTCATATTTAAATTGAAATATATATATTAAAAATGCTGTCTTTATGAATTGTAAGATGTTTTTTACATTAAAAATGGAAAATAATCAGGTCATTTTTTCCATCAGCCTTTCTGTGCACAAAGCGCGATAACTCTATTTATATTCCATGTTTTTAAAATGTAGACTGGCAATCAGCTGCTACAGGCAGCTCTTTTTGACAAGAGCTTAATAAAAGACAAGAGCTTGGAATATAAAATCATATTGGTTTTTACTTATATTATACAATAAACAACAAAACATTTCATAAAATACCTGCAAATACACTATGGCATAATTTAAAAAAATAACAAAACATAAATTCTATTACCAGGACATGCTTATAAATGAACACGATACAGTGAACAAAATGAATTTCTTCGTCAGTAACACTAATAGTTCATACCAGACAGTGTTTTATGATTTTTAACGACCGCTCTCTCTGGCAATTTTTTCCCTGATATTGACCTAGCCCATGCGTAGCTGTAATTGTTCAATTTTTCAACCTGTTTCATTTGTCTCTTGCTAACATCAGTTTTGCGAATAAACACACGACAACCTTGCTGAATTACTCGGATAATTTGTCTTCTGTGAACATAGACACGTCTCCGAGATCCCTGAAATAAACATCGTTCCCATGACCGTTGGTCAAGGTCTGAGGACGTAACTTTGTGGTACATAACGTGAAGTTTTCCTTTTGGGCGAGTCTGTACTGCAACTTCGTATATTTTTGACCCTGAGGAGCTCCTAAATAACTTAGTTCTCCTATAGCCATTTTTAAGATACATTTTGTGAAATGGGCCCTGTGGTTTATCGGGACTGTATGCTAGTTTCCACGGCGTCCATTTCAAGTTCCGAAGTGCGAATTTCGTTTCCGGGATGTTCTCGCGTGGGATACTCTTTGTTGTTGAATTCTGTAAAATACAAATTATACAAAAATGTATACAGCAAGCTTACGCTAAGAATTTAAAGAGCTTGGGGTAAAAATCATTAGAAAAAACTTGATTTGCAAGAAATGGAAACTAACTTTTTTAGAAATTGGTTGTCTCTGTTTAAGTGGTCTAGCCTTTGGGACCCGTGGGATGGACGCCTTGGGTAAACATACAGCTTTTGATTTGGCACTAAAATCAGTCGATGAGCTAACAATACTGTCCATGGGTGTGACTGGTAATGGTGAATGTGGGACTGTTGGCGTATAGATAGAACAGCTTGGGGTTGACGTGCTACCCACGGAGTCTCCGCGACGGAGGGTGGCAAACATGTTGTTTAAATCTTTGTGGAGACCAGATGTGCCTTGCCGGGCTGTAACTTCTGCTTCATAATTCTATAGGAAAAGGGTAGAGATATTTGAAAAAAAAACTTGTAACAGAATGTCGGTTTTTATTTCTAATAAAAGTTATTAATTTTGAAGATTTTTCTATCACTCAAATAAAAAAAAAATCAAAAATACCAGAAAAAGGCCATCATCTCTTTCTCTGTAGCAAATTGCCATGATGAAATCACAAATGCTGGAAAAATTCTCAAGCTTAAGATAGTGACCACCAGTTTTTTCTGCCATAGTTTTGTAGAAGTCGTCCACCCCTTCGTTATTCAGAGCCTGCACAGCATAGACTTTTATTCCCTAAAAGATATGTAAAACACATCAAAAATAGAAATCAGGAAAGTTAGGAGAATTCATAGTATTTATGACGCCTAGGAAATTTTTAGTTTTTCTTCAATTTTTGAAAAGATTTGTTATACTTTCTTACCTGTTTTGCAAGAATATCGACTTCATCTCTCCAATTAATATTGTGCACGTTTAGTTCATAATCTGGTTCGTGTGGATTGGCATCTCCAATCATTACTAAAACTTTGTTGGAAACTGGTGCCCAGTTAAAATCTTCATTTGCTTTTCTAAGGATTAGTTCATAACATTCGTCTTGGTCTCCTCCCCCCGTTCCTTCGACATCGCCCACAAAATTACACAGATCCGCCACATTATGCGTGAAGTCGATGTGTTTTTCCAGGTAGAAAACTTTTTCGTCACAATAGTCTCCATGGGCTATGACCCCGATTCTGATTCCGGGAATATCAGCTTGTAGTCTCTGAATCATCTCGCTTAATCGACCTTTGACCTCGTCTAGTATGTATGACATTGACCCGGTGGTATCAAACGAGAATAAAATGTCCATGGCACCACCTGGGGGCATTGTATATCCTGGCAATGGTGAAACATCCATCTAGGAATTAAATGATGTTCATAAGATTTGTTTGTATAATAATTTTGTCATTTTATTAAAAAAACAAGATAATTCTATAGATTTGTAAGCAGTGTGGTTTTTTACCTTCAAATTTTTCTTCGATATTTCTCACTTGATAGTCAAGCAAAGTATGAATTTTGATTTCGAAGTCCTTTATTTATACCATTCTAGAATGACTGACGATCTTCGTGTAGACTAGCAACCTTTATGTAGACTGACGATGAAACACATAATAACATTGTAATGGAAGACTGACGATTAATGGTAGACTAGTGATCCTGCAATTCGTCATATATATTAAAGATATTCTATTTAGATACAATAGTTTTAAAAAATTCCATCCTTCTCTTCTCTCGTGAAACCATAACCATCTCCCTAAAATGAAAACAAAAACAATGCATGCACTGTTGAAATTTTTATTCTAAACAAAAAAGGACAACTAATATATCATTAATGTGATTTAAATTAGTATCTTGTGATGAAGAAGAAGGGGGAAGACGAAACAAAACTCCTCTCTAACCATTTTAAAGATGAACTATTATAATAAAATGTTGTGTGACTAAGTAGTTCTCTGAGTTTTCAAGTTCGTATACGCACATAATGGATTTGTGTTGTACAGTCACTCCTGAATATTCTGGGACTCTTCAGAGTAGAAGCCTTAAAGTCCCGTATGAAGGTCATAGGAAACCCCGCAATGCTAAAAGCCAGGATCCACTCTGTAATGGTGGATGCCAGGTACACGTCACGTAAGGAATCCTAGAAATAAAAACTCGTGTTTTTATATATATTAGGTTTCGTTTTGCATGGATTAATTGACATACTAGTATATAAATAACATGGATAAATTTCGGGGGTGGGGTGGGGGGTGGGGGGTGGGGTATCTTGGATCGGATACCTTAAAGACAGGTTAGTAGGATGGTAATGACCAAAACTCCCTGTACACTTAAATTCATTATCTGCTGTTAATCATATTTTCAAAAATTAAATTACTTTAGCATAGGATCAGGAAACTTGAAGCACTTCCTGCACACATTAACATTAATTTGCATTCCATTCAATATGTAACGATGTCAAAACTGTTTGTTTAGGTTACATATTGCATTTTTTGTGACTTGCACAGTCGAACCCCACGAGGATTATATTCACCAATCTCCTCCCACAAAAAAAATCAATTTTATCAGTTGTTTAAGTAAAGTTTTGCTTACCTCTTTCGATCCATAGCCTTTAGATTTCTGTACCTCATACACTACTTTTGATATTCCGACTAGTAACCAGAGGTTAAGGCTTATGAATTTTAAAAAACCTTGAATTTGGATTTGTATCAAAATACAAAATTAAATTAACGATTAAGAAGTGGATACATGTTAACAGGGCCACTGTAGTCCAGATCATGAGTACCAACTGTATCCTACTTGTTCTCCTTTGTTTAAGGTCCAGTAACCATGACAACCTTGTCTGTATCCAGCCGTACACTACGCCGCCAACAAACGCCATAGCAGCTCCGACATAATGAGGACCCTTGAAATAGCTGTTGTAGCCATCTGTCTATTACGGTGAAGAAGTTATAGAATATTGACAACATCCTGTATACATGGTTATATTCACCCCGCGTCCCCGTGTTATTTTTACCGCACTTTTAATTGTATTTAACAGGTAATGCTGTCTTCTTTTTATTCGCCCCGTTTTAAATTAGTCCATTTGCGCGACGAGAGCAAAGGGGCGAAAATAAAACGGGGACGAAAATTCCCTTGTATACAGTACTTATACAATGCACGTAGATGAGAAGAGAGAGAACAAAAATCAGAGTTATGCTTCTTTATACATGTAGGATACTTTCGCCGAAAGTCTGGACTTGGATTCTGCTAACAAACATATGCATAATCAAAAAGCAATATTAATTTTTCCTGTCTACACTTGCCCAGATGCGAGATAAAGAACATAGGTTGCTGCTGACAGATAGGTGTGATTTAAAAATAAGCATGTTTACCGCTGACAGATTGGTATGTTTTGTTACCTCCTACCACTGAAAGTCCAGACTAGCGATGAATTAGATTTTATTTACTCTATTTCTTACTGGAAAGTTTCCTAGTACGGTGTTTCCTAAGCTGACTAGAAGGCCTATACATAGACAGACAATGTTCAACCAGTGGTAGCTTTTTGGGACGGAACAGGAGAACAGATCCACTTTGATGGAGAGGTACCTCAGTACGCTACACATACCATCTAAACAAACAAAAAAAATTATAAAAATTTATAAAAAAAAAATGTACAGAGTATGAAATAGGGGCGTCTATTATGTTTGTCAAGTTTGTCATTACATATGTTTAGATGCTTTCACATTCGATGCAAGAGGTTTTACACTTGGTCTACGACATGCCGTTTAAAAATAAAATATTTTGTCCTATGTTGCATCTTTCATTCATAGAGTATACTATTAAACACAATATATATTGATTATTTTTAAAATATTTTATTTTTATGAGTATGCATATTTGCGCATAAAAAGTGTAATTTTTGTAGACAAATACTCACATAAAACTGACCCGATGGTCACCATCTGAGCAAATATCGCTCTCTGTGGATCATTGTTAGCTGTTTTACTGTAAAAACGAATTCAAATATAACAGTTACTAGATAACAGCAAACAATAAAAAAGAAAATTGGCCATTGAGAAAAAATTAATTGATATATTTTGAAACTTTGCACAGGAAAAGATAATCCAAACTTGACATCTCTTATTAACCAGATGATAATGACGTTTTGGGTTTTTTGTATATAGTATATAATGTAATACCTGATGTATGGAAAATCTGCCTCTGTATCTTTTCTGATGGCAGACAAGATATACCTAGAAAAACAAATAAAAAACAAGATATGTTTGTGAAACACTAATGCCCCCCTAAAATATTTGTATTCAAAGAAAACTCTTGTCTCAATACTAGTACCTGTGAAATTTGAAAGCCCTAGCACCAACCGCTGAAAAGTTATGGCAAAGGTTAAAGTAGGTCAAACGTGAAGGTCATATAGTCAAAAAATAATGGTGCCCAAATGAATGTTTTGTCACATAAAATACACATGTGAAATATGAAAGCCCTAGCACACACCATTAAAACGTTTTTCAAAAGAAAGTCAAACCTCAAGGTCAAGGAAAAAGTCAAAACTGTTGGTACCCGAGAGAAGGTCTTGTCAAAAGAAACAAGAGGCCCAAGGGCCTTAACGGTCACCTGAGTACAATACAACAATTTAGAGGATCCATACACTGATAAATGAAGCTTTGTTGCCCAAAAGCAAGAAAAATAGTATGATAAGCATCAACAAAATAATTGGTATAGAATCTATCTGTCCCCCATTCATCACTATTACCATGTAGACTATTAACAAAATGTCTATTTTTAACCCCATATTATTACTTCTCACATTGGTCTCTCTTGGCCTTTGAAGAACATTAAAAAAGATAAGTTATTTTTGCCTCACTTTTATTCATCTATTATTTCCAAGTCTACCTGCTCATTAAAACTACAAAAGTACTTTTTGTATTATATAATAAATATTCTTGCAAAATTCTCTTATTCTATTAACCTTTCAAATACATTATTTACAGTGATTAATTATCAAAGGTGAATGGCAAAGGGGAATTAACTTTGCTCAGCAGAATACAAGTTCATAGAGCCCTGGCCAGGACCAGAATACTTGACTAAATAATCCAGGTGTTCAAAATTCTGGTAAAAATACCCTTGCATATTAAAACTTTTACTCTGTTTGCCTCGAATATGCCCAGAAGAATACAAGATTTTCAAAGAAATGCATGTTCACTATGTTATTAAATAAATAAAGCCCCCCTCCACCTTTACACCAGAAAATCTTACCCATGAACTAATAATTCTGGAAGAAGCACTTTGCTCATCATAACTATACACTTGTTTCTTTGCTTTATTACCAGTAGTAGAAAAAATATTTTGAAAGAAATTATGCATTTTCACTATAAAATCAATAGAGCCCCCCCCCCCCTCAAAAGAACCCCTGACCCAGGGGCCATGATTTTCACAACTTTGAAAGAGGCATTCTTCCTTATCCTAACCATGCAATTCCTTTGTTTGAACAATACCAAGGAGCAGAGAAGAAGATTTCAAAAGAATTTATGCATTTTCCTTATATATCATTAGAGCCCCGACCTAACACCAGAACCCTTCATCCAGGGGCCACAAAATTCACAATTTCTGAGGAGGCAGCCATGCTCATCATAACTATGTACTTAGTTTATTTAATATCCAGGAGAGAGAAGATTTTCAAAGAAATAATGCATTTTCACTATATATATATATCAATTGAGCCCCACCCTGACACCAGAACCCCTGACCCAGGGGCCATGAAATTCACAATTTTGGAAGAGGCAACCATGCTCATCATAACTATGCACTAAGTTAGTTTATTTAATACCCAGGAGTAGAGAAGAAGATTTTCAAAGAATTAATGCAAATAATCAATAGAGCCCCCCCCCCCCAAACACCTGAACCCCTGAACCAGGGGCCATGAAATTCACAATTTCTGAAAAGGCAGTCATGCTCATCATATCTATGTTCTTAGTTAGTTTATTTAATATCCAGGAGCAGAGAAGAAGATTTTCAAAGAATTAATGCATTTTCACTATATAGTCAATAGAGCCCCCCCGCCCCCCCCCCCTTACACCAGAACCCCTGACCCTGGGGCCATGAAATTCACAATTTCGGAAGAGGCACTCTTGCTCATCATAACTATGTACTTTGTTACTTTATTTAATACCCAGAAGCAGAGAAGAAGATTTTAAAAGAATTAATGCCTGTTCACTATATAATCAATAGAGCCCCGCCCTAACATCAGAACCCCTGACCCTGGGGCCATGAAATTGACAATTTTGGAAGAGGCACTCTTGCTCATCATAACTTTATACTTGGTTTGCTTTTTTAATACCCAGGAACAGAGAAGAAGATTTTCCAAGAATTAATGCATTTTCACTATATAATCAATAGAGCCCCGCCCTAACACCAGAACCCCTGACCCTGGGGCCATGAATTTCACAATTTTGGAAGAGGCATTCTTGCTCTTCATAACTATGTACTTAGTTACTTTATTTGATACCCAGGAGCAGAGAAGAAGATTTTCAAAGAAATAATGCACTTTCACTATGTGATCTATATAGCCCCACCCTAGCACCAGAACCCCTGACCCTGGGGCCAAGAATTTCACAATTTTGGTAGAGGGCTCAATGCTTATTACAATGATGCCAACAGTTTGACTGCTTGATGTCCAGGAATAAAGAAGAAGATTTTTAAAGATTGCATTAATTTTGGTGGTTTTAGCCCCACCCCTCAGGCCCCAGGGGGGCAGGGACCATGAAATTCACAATCTTTGTTCCCCTTCACCCATAGATGCTATATGCCAAATTTGGTTGAAATTGGTTGAGCGGTTCTAGAGAAGAAGCTGAAAATGTTCAAAAGTTAACGCACGACGACAGACAAAAACGGATAGCAATAGGTCACCTGAGTGACTCAGGTGACCTAATAAACATGTGAAATATCAAGCCCTAGTACTAACTAATCAAAATTATGACCAAGGTTAAAGTTTTTTTAAGTAGATCAAACTCCAAGGTCGAGGTCAAAAATATTTATACCCAGGGAAAGGTCTTCTCACAAGGAATACATTTGTGAAGAATGAAAGCCTAGCACCAACTGTTCTAAAGTTATGGCCAAGGTTAAATTTGGTGAAATTTTGCAAAGTGGATCAAAACTCCAAGGTCAAATATGATGCTACCCAAAAAAGGTCTTGTCACAAGGAATACACATGTGAAATATGAATGCCATAGCTTCAACCAATCAAAAGTTACGGGCAAAATTAAAGTTTTTGCGGAAAAACAGACTGAAAGACAAGACAGACAGGATGACGGACAAAGCAAAAAACTATATGCCGAATCTTCGCCGGATTACGGGGGTAAGATAAATTCTCTCTCTCTCTCTACTTACGACAGACAAACGCTTATCGCCAGTCATGTAAATGTAATTATCTCTCTTGATCTCTCTACTTACGACAAACGGTTATCGTCATCCATGCAAATGTAATCATCTCTCGATCTCTCTTCTACTTACGACAGACAACTTATCGGCAGCCATGTATATGTAAATCTCTCTCTCTCTCTCTTAACTAACGACAGATACACGATTATCGCCAGGCATGTAAACGTAATGATCTCTCTCTCTCTCTACTTACGACAGACAAACGGTTATCGCCAGCCATGTAAATGTAATGATGGGCAATAGATGAAGGCGAGTCCTGAAACAATTCAGACACCCGGGAGGTTTGGTACGCACTGGTGTAGGGTCTGATCTGTAATGCCAAACATTAATATTCAGTAGCACTGGTACTTCCTTCACATGTTTGTATTTCTTATATATGTTTCGATTTTAAGCTTTCGTAGTTTTTATCTTTTTATTTGTATCAAATGTTCATGGTCTCGTGTAATTGTCGTTTCATTTTGTAATTGTGTTTTGATTCTTCATTTGTAGTTAGTATCTGTTGATTTACTTTTGCATTGTGTAGCGATTCATTTGTATTTTAATGTTATACATGTAGATATATATATCATTAGTCTCATCCTCCTATCAAACCATATAAAAAGATGTGTAAGCTAAAATCTACGCACGTAATATTATCTAAAAAAATAAAAAATTATAAACATGATATTAATACAAATTGCGAAGTCTCCACTAAAGTTACGGTTCAGAAACATTCCGCTGCTCAACTGTAGAGAGACTTTTTTATAGTTTGTTTTCAGACCCACTCCAAAATATAGATTCTTTTGATATAGTCTGGGCAAAGTTTGATCAACTTAAAAAATACTTATGCCTGGAAATAAGCCTACTAAATAGATCGTATCCGTGCTTCTATGATCTTGACAGATGATATGCTAGCTTACCCATATACGTAGCGGAAAGGTAGCATAGATAGAAAAAAACCAAGATAGCAACCTTAGTTATTCCACCTTACATCATACCTCTGGTGGAGTTTCAATATCAAAACTAAATCTGAAACCTAGTGGTTGAGAGATACTTAGCCGTGCGATCTTTGAACGCAGCCCTGAACATCCAGAAAATATAAATACCTAGCAGCATACGGGCTGATCCATGGATCCGGAATCGAACCGTATCCTGCGTGTAGATTGTATGCTGAAGTATATAATTTGTTCAGCTTTCTCTACTGTAAATATACACAGTAAAAACATAATGCGTTGGCGTTCTGCCTTTTGGGTCCGAATCTTGGTCTGAACTTTGAAATTGCAAAATGTCTATGGTGTCTTGTCAGTTGTATGTCGATATGATAAATTATCGTGCAACACAGGCAATTCTTCTTATATTACATTCCTCTGTGAATGGTTTATATGATCCAATCCTGGCCATGCACGGTTTAAACAAACATGATTTTACACTGTGCATAATCCTTTTTAATGTGAGTCCCAGACTCTTCATCACTTACTTTACATATCTGGCTTTTGAAGGGATGAAGCCATTATTCTGAACTCCCTTTGTACATTTTTTGAAATTAATTATTGTCAGTACATTCTGCATATATCTCCATGCAGTAAATTCAAACTTTACAACATGATGCCACTTTAATGTTGGAGTATATGGAAGTGTTAAAAAAGAATTTCTGGGGATAATAAACAACAAAGAGAAAGACAAAAAGACGAGTACCAAATAGAATATACCCTAGCGAATGATTCGGTTAAATTAAATTGTAATATGGATCTCGGTTCAATGGGTCCGTTCCATGTCTGTGTGTGTAGGGGGAGGGGGGAGGGGGAGTCTCAAACAAAAATTTATCACAGACACCTTTTTAACGTATACATTTTTCTCCAATAATATTCAACAAATGCAGTCATTAAAACGTATCGATCGCAATAGTGTCACCAATATATCAATACCTTTGGACCTTTCTATTTAGTTCCATTTTGCAATATCCCACAACAGTGTACAATACGTACACTCACTACTATGCACCCTTCTCAAATAAACCTTTAAAAAAATCAAGTACCTCCAATTTAGATCTTTTTAATAAAAACTTAAATTTAGTATGTTTACCTTTGTGGGTATGGCTCAATCCTGGATCCTGGCTGTTTTCTCAATTCCATTTCAAATTATTCTCCTCCTCCGGGGCTGACACTTTGATCGAATCGCGTCAACGTGTTGACAATGAGTGATATTGTCAAAGCTCTTGTAGAATTCATATCTAAAATGTGTTTAAAGAGTTTTAAAGTTAAAAAGGACAATATTTGTATAATCCATAGTAAATGGATCTAGCTATAGATAGTGGGTATTTAAATGACGACGTCAATTTACTTGCTTAGTCATTCATTCATGAATATGCTGAGTTTCAGAACATTGATAAGTTTATTTACATTAAAATCTAATTTTCTTTATATTTTTTTTTAAATTTCAGGCGCGGATCCAGATTTTTTTCGGGGAGGGGGGGGGGAGGAAGGGGAGTGAGTTCTACAACTTATACAATGTCAGACTTGCAAATTTTTGACAAGTAAAAAAAAATTCCTGTTTCGTGGCGTCGGTGATGGTTTGTGTGTGGGATGATGTGGTGGTGGCAGATAAGCCACTTTCGTAAGTCAATTTTTTTTCAGATTCAAGACTCTTCTTATCATTTTAAGAGGGGTCCGTGTTTCCTAGTAGTGGATCTTCGTTACTTTTACTTAGAAATTTAATAACTCTGAGATTCTGGGGGAAGAGGAGTACCCACCCTCTAGTTTATTTCTTCTTTTTTTTTATCTTTTATTTATCTATTCTTATTTTTGAAAATGCAACACATGGGAAGAAATTCTGTTGATTTTCTATAGATTTATAGATATCTTTATATATATATATATATATATATATATATATATATATATATATATATATATATATATATATATATATATATATATATATATATATATATATATATATATATGTATATATATATAGATAGATAGATATATATATAGATATATAGATATATAGATTTAGGCTGAACAGCTCAGTCAAAGTAAATTAACGCTAATCTTTTATTTTACCCATTATATATTTTATATTTATATTATACCTTACTTAACGCATTGTATTTGCATCATATTATACATGGGTTTTTTTTTGTATCGTTTTGTTTTGTTCTGTTTTTTGTTTTGTTTTGGTTTTTTTTTTTTGTAATCATGTATCATTTATACATGTACATGGTTTTGAGCGAATAAACTGAACTGAATCAACCATTATGAGTAGTGCGAGGGAATTATGTCAGCAACTCTAAGGAAAGGATTCGGTTTTAAATCAAAACTAAAAACTTCATTCTTCACTGAAAAATTAGAGGCCTTTAATCTTTTTTTTATTCGGGGTTCGGGGGCAATGATTTCAATATCCTATGTGCCCATATAAATAAAGAAAATAGAATAAAATATATATAAATAAAAAATGAACGAAGAAATAAAAAAAAATACGTTTAAAAAAGACATTAACATAAATGTCCGAAACTGTGATCCTTCATTTGATGTTAGAAAGCAATCACGGGTTAATACTTTTATCCATGCAAGTTAAGAATATAGAGTTATTGTCTTAATTAATTCTAGAGATGTGCAGGTGGAGTGGGGGATCCAGGAATATCTTTCAGGGGGTCCATCCTAGTCAAAAAAATTTCGAACCCAGAAAATTTTTTGATAAACAAATAAAAAAAAAACAAAAACAAAAAAAGCAATCCATTCCCAAGACGTGGGAAAAAAACCTTTTCATGGTAGGGTCCACGTTTTCTAGAGGGAGTTCAAAGTCATTTTTTATTTCCTTTGGTATATACTTTTAATAGTTCTTAATTCCAGGGGGTCCAAACCTACCCCCCCCCCGCCCCTCTAGATCCGCACATGCCTTCATTTCTATTAAAATAAATTCTGTCGAGGATTATGGCAGATGATGGGTGAAATATGAAGGGGTAAATCTGATCACTTTGTCTGAACGGTTTAAGTGTTTTAGAAATACATGTATATTAAAGAATCATATTAAGAAGTTATCACTAAATTGGAAGTGATAAAAGAATTAGAGAGTCTTCATTAACGACATGGTTCCAGCAGACAAGGCTTGTAACATTATCGCCTTTGTTTGTGATGCTCATTATTACAAATTTAATATTTTAAAAAGAACTCGAGGTTTTAATTCTATATCTGGAAATCTAACTTATACTCACAGTCCACTTTCTAAGGATAAAATTCTTAAAAAAAAACATTTCAGTCTTTGAAATTTTTATCATTCCAGTCGATCTACCCTACCTATATTGGATTCCTTAACTTCATAAATATCCTAAAAAACAAAGATACATTGTCGGGTCCAGCAGCTGCTCTACCAAGGCTTATTCTTACTCCTCACAAGAAATATATATACTGCTCTCAGACGTTATTCGAGAAGTAAATCAAATGTGGATTCTCAAATCTTCCAAAGAACTTTCAGGAAATTTAAAATCACATTTTTTTTTCAAAGATCATTAACATCTGAACGTATATGACTTTTCTACACTTCATAAAACCATTCCTCGCGATGAATTAAAAATTAGATTTTTTGGTATCATAAACAACTGCTTTTTCAATAAAAACGGAACTCGTCGATTTTCATATCTTGTGATTGGTCACCTAAAAAATGCTTTGTAAAAGATCACTGATTCTACACACAAGTACTCTGAAGTTGATATTAAAAGGATGCTGGAGTTCCTCATTGACAACATCTATGTAGAATTTGGAGACCATGTCTTCCAACAATCTGTTGGAATTGTAATGAGTACTAATTGTTCTCCTTTATTAGCCGACCTGTTTCTGTATTCCTATGAAGCAGAATTTATCCAAAAACTTCTACATGAGAAGAAATCACTTGCTGTGACCTTCAACTCGACATTCTGAAATATCGACGTTTCGTCAATTAACAACAGTTACTTCCATTCACTGTCGACTAGATATATATCTCAGTGCACTCAAAATAAAAAACACCACAGAGTATACCATATTTAATCTGACTATAGACGATAAGGGCCAACTAACAACTAACAACTTAACTGTGTCTGACAAACGAGATGACTTCAGTTTTTTCATCGTCAACTTTACTTATTTATGCAGTAATATTTCACTATCACCTGCATATTCCAGCTTATTCGATACTCAAGAGCATGCTCTGAGTACGATCAATTTTTAAAACCTTGGTAGGCTACTGACAAATACGTACGTTGATGTTTCAGGGATTTCAACAACCTCGTTTAAAGTCGGCATTTCGTAAATTCTATGGTAGTTTAAATTTCTTTGTTAACAAATAATCTGTCACTGTGTCGTTTTTTGACTGACATATTTCATACCAGCTGTTAGGCCTCAATTTTTATAATAAAGACTACGGAATATCTTACCTGATCAATAGATGTGTGTCACGGCGGGTGTGACCAGTCTACAGGGATGCTTACTCTTCCTAGGCACCTGATCCCACCCTTGAATTTCCAGGAGTCCGTGTTTAATGCCATTTTCACAGAGTTGTATATTGTATGCAGGTTCTCTTTTTAATATCGATTACTGTTCGTTATGTTCACATATTTCAGTCATGTCAACGGGAAAGTGAAATATGCAGGGTAGAGGTTACTTGTGGTCTCTTAGCAGGACTTGCAGACTATGAATTTTTCCTAGATTCAGAAATGTTTTTGGAGTTAATTTTATCTAGCTTGCTCTATACCAAATTTCGATTGAGGTGGTAGGGTTTTTTTATTACAATGAATAGTTTTAGGAGATATGATTGGTGAAATAAAAAAAATGTTGATTTTCTGATACATTTATTATTTGACTTGTTTAATGCATATGTTTGGAATGAGTTAAGATAATAAGTTGAGTGTAAATGAAATATAATTTTAAAAAAATGCAGAGGTGAGCCTTTTTAGTATACTTGGAAAACTTTCAAGGCCGGAGTGGATCTTTGCGTATCCGGAAAGAAAGATAAAGGGCGAAAGAAGGATGTATTCGCGTTAAATTGATTGTAGCTATCATAAATCAAAATCTTACATGTATACATGTAAGAATAAAAACGGGACAATGAAAGCACTGACTTTTATTTAGTATCGAACATCTCTGTTCTTCAAGATTAATCATTTCTAAATAAAATTGAAATAAATTCCAAGTGCCAAAAAAAAAAAAAAGATTAAGAAGAATGCATGGCTGCATAATAATGGATCAAATCAAAAGAAATGAATACCAATGCGGAGAAATTTCTTGTAAAAGGAACAATGACAATAAAACGGTGCAGAAAGTTTCTATAAAGCCTTGAGGACACTCCCCTTAAATTGTGTGTCGATCCGAGATCTGGTTAGAAGTTTGGGGAATTATTTTACGTCGCAATTTCACTAAGAAGAGGGGATGGGGGTGGGGGTAAGACACTAAGTAAAATAACAACTAACCCTCAGAGGAAAAATAAAAGTGAATGTTACTTTCGCCTGACCGAAGGTCAATAAATATCAAAGGTCAAGGTCATATGTTCATGTCATTGCCATCAACTTTTAAGTTCATAATGATCCCGACCCTTGACTTTGTTCAACTTTCTTGTTCAAAAGTCAATTACGATTGAGTTCCTTCTTGTGTACTTTTGACGTTAACTAAGAAAGCTGAAGAACCTAATATCCACCTCTCAAGGTCTATGCCATAAATTGTATCGAATCAACATTGAATATCAGTGATTAGCGTTTCAGTTTATTGAGTTCCCCACAAAGCTAGACCGGTGTTGTAGAGTAGGATTTCCCCCATAGCCAGTTTTCCCCCGGAATCTGTACTATAGAGTAAGATTTCCGTCCGAGGGGGAAATCTCACAATTTTTTCCCCTTGTATCAATGCTTAAATCATGTCCACAAAATTTTGGCTAAAAGTTTATATGAAAGTCAACTGATTTTGAAAAGGACATATGAGTGCTTTCGATTCAAGAATTGTCAATTGTAGTAATAAATCTTAAAATATTTAGTTTAAATTATTGAGTCTGAACCCAAAATTTTCATTCATACAAAATTGTAAAATTAGTCACTTAAAAATCCTAAGAATTGATTGTAATTTGATAATATGTTGGCCCTCTAAAGGCCTATATTAACTTATTTATGGATCGATCCTTTTTACAAAGAGCGT